CACAATAATGCATGGTAGCCTGACTACATCTGAAATGTTTTGGTCAGCAGAATTCACTGCATTGATTCATGATTCTGATCCAAGCACAACAAAATGCCAGAACTGATTGCCAACTTTTAAATACAGTGAGAAAATATGATTTTTTTTAAAATAAAAAATGTAATTCTTTATGCATTTATTTACATTTTTAAATGCCCCATTATCGTAGTCCTACATGATATATAAGGAATAGGAAAAGGTATTACTCAAGAGAGTCTTCGTCAGCATTTTCTGAAGTCAGCTACTGTTGAGAAACAAATCTTAAAGACTTGGCGATATATAAAAACTACTGAATATTTCCACTGTTATTTGCCTATTCAAACTGACTTTGTATTTTAGGGTGTGTTGGCACTACAGAATATGAGGTAAACTTCATGACCATTAAAATGCTTGTAACTGACTCTTCAGCTAAATTTAAATAAAGCAAATACGAAACACTTTAGAATTAAATGAAAACATGACTAAATGAAAGTACAAAAATATTCAGAATCACACATTTAAAATATTAATTTGTAAAACGTTTTCAAAATGTAATAACATGCCCCAAGATAAATGAAGCAACTTTCCATAATCTCACATTTGTAAAACAAGCTATAAGCGAAAGCATTTTTTTTCACCAAGAAGAATAAATAAATCTAATTTCCTGTTGAAAATTTATTTTTGGGTAATTATTTTGCCTTTAAGTAATAGTTGATTTAGATCAATTTGCAGGATTCAAAGGGTTTTGAAAAGTTTTGAACCTTTCAAAGGGTTGCCATGTTGGGATTGTACAATTAGCCTAATTAAATTGACAATAAAACAAAAGTTTTAAAATGAGTTTAAAATCAGGAAAAACTTCTGAAGATAAAACACATTTGTGTAGCCTATCAACTCCTGCTTTTACTCGCTTCGGTTTTCCCTATGCTTACTATGGATCGAAAAAGTAAGCTTCTTGTAGACTATGTTAGAATTTAAATGGGGAGATTTTAATTTAAATAGGGTAAATTAATTTACTAATTATGGGGAACGAACCACTCACTTTGGACCATACCATCCGTGCGCGATACAGAAATGACACCAGTTACGATCTGTGAAGACAAGTATGATTACAAACAAGGTGTAAGGAGCTTTTGGCGTTTAACATTTTGGCAGTAGTTTTGGCAAATACCTTTGAAGTTTTCTGCCTTTAGACCAACCAGCTCCTTACCTCAAACCACAGCCTATTTTGCTCTCTAACACAGACTAAACTCCAAACCATGAAGAATTACAACGCGGACATTCACCGCATAAGGAAGTCTCACGCTAAGAAAAAAATGGCCTTAAATTGCGGATAAACAACAGGCGACTTGGCGCATGGCTACAAGCCGTTTCTTTACCGTGTTGAAAACAGTCCAGGCAGGCTGAAATTCACACTGCAGCGGCAGCAGCAGTGTTTTGGCATCACGAGTTCATGGGGTTAATGAGAAACCGCGCTCACGTGAGCACAGGTGCGTCATCTGTCTGAAGAGACGATCGCGATAAACTGTTTCTTCATCCCGCCGAACGACATGCGCTAACATGTAATCACATTAAAATGACCACCCTGCAGCCGACCAGCGGTTTACATGCGCCGTCTTGTTTGCTAGGAATTAGCATCATCGCACACAGTTATTAGGTCATATATTCATGAACAACACAATCACCATAACAACGGCAGACTGCATTAGACAAAAGATTTGCGCCCCGCCACGATCGTCTTACCTGTGAATTAATGAACTGTCTGTCTGTCTGGTGAAAAACATGGACTGAAACTTTGAGATGCGCTACAATAGAATCTCATTTTCACGCTACGAAAATGGCTACAGTGTTGGACGCCTGCAAAATTCCGCTCTGTCTCCCTTTGTTTTGCTACTGACTATGAGCGAGACTCTGGATAAACTCCATCACCATTTTTATCAGTTTCAGACAGACTCCAGACACTCTGGCCACTTACGTGTCGTGCACTGTCTGCGCAGCGCGTTCACGAGTGTCGGCGCGCCACAGACTGACAAGCGCCAGACCAATGGCGTCCCGAATTTCAGCATGATATCCAATAACAACAGCCCCAAAAATGATAACCTCCGAATGACTCCCCGGATGGATGCAGAGAGAAAATAATCTTTAGGAAACAATCGCAGTCAAAGAAATATGATTGGAGGTGGGGGATGAATTAGGTTTATCTCTCAGCCATTGCGCTTTATGTTATCTGAATACGAGTCGAGTGAAAAAAACAAAGTGCATCACAATAATTTGCTAGCTTCTCTGTTTGCGACCATAGCTTTAAACTACACTCAGCCTAATTCTACATAAAATAAAGGCACAGTGTTCAATAAAACGACAGACTTGAAGTCAGAATTATTAGCCCCCCTTTGATTTCTTTTTCTTTTTTAAATATTTCCCAAATGGTGTTTAACAGAGGAGGGAAATTTTCACAGTATGTCTGATAATATGTTTTCTTTTGAAGAAAGTCTTATTTGTTTTATTATAGCTAGAACAAAAATGTTTTATAAACAGTTTTAAGGTCAAAACTATTAGCCCTTTTAAGCTATTTTTAGATAGTCTACAGAACAAACCATCATTATACAATGACTTGACTAAATACCCTAACCTGCCTAGTTAACCTAATTAACCTAGTTAAGCCTTTAAATGTCACTTTAAGCTATATAGAAGTGTCTTACAATATCTAGAAAAATATTATTTACTGTCATCTTGACAAAGATAAAATAAATCAGTGATTAGAAATGAGTTATTAAAACTGTCATGTTTAGAAATGTGTTGAAAAATCTTCTCTCCGTTAAACAGAAATTGGGCAGAGAGAGAAAAACAGGGTTTAATAATTCAGGGGGCTAATAATTTAGGAGTGGTTAATAATTCTGACTTCAACTGTATATATTATTGTTTTTCAAAAGTGAAGATAAAACCAAAATAGAACAATTTAAAAAGCTTCACATGTTTCTGTCTGAACCTGACATAAATCTGATATAACCTCAGGCACAGATAGATAGATAGATAGATAGATAGATAGATAGATAGATAGATAGATAGATAGATAGATAGATAGATAGATAGATAGATAGATAGATAGATAGATAGATAGATAGATAGATAGATAGATAGATAGATAGATAGATAAAACACACTAATTGTGCTTTTATTAAATACTTTTGTGAGTAATTTCAGAATTTCACAAAAAGCTAATTACTCCTCCAAAAATGATTATTCTTCATTATTAAAACACGGATGTGCTTTCACCCATCATTTGGGAGGATATTCTGTATATTTTCTTCCCACCCTATATCATATGACAATCCTTAATTTGGCATAAGGTTTGATAGGAAAGATCTCCCTCTTAACATTACTTCAGATTAACTAATTTAGATGTAAGTCTAGCATGCACGATTTTTAAGCAACAACCACCATTTTATATGTTAAATTATATTTGTATTTACTTTCTGTTATTAAATGAATAAAACATTTATTAAAACAATGTGCAAATGTTAAAGATTACAATAAGATAACATGGCCCCTGTTGATGAGAAGTCTTGTCTTCGATAAACAAATACACCATGGACAAATTAGATTGTATTCAATTTTATTTTTTCAAAAGTATTATTAATGTAAAATATTTAAACAATTATATTATGTACATTGTAATTTAAAATATTTAGTTGGATAATTGAATAACTGAAGACAAACAGAGCAGAATGCCAGTGCATATGTAGGTTTATTCATAACAGGGTTATTAATATTAACATATTTCATTGCGCGTAATGTAATCGAAGTTATGTCATAATGGCAACACTAATGCAAATTTTAACAATTTTACTCAAGTAACCCCAGAACAATATAGCGAATATGTCTGGATTATATTTCTTCATAAAATATTACATCACAGCTATATTACAAGTAAAATTAATAACACTTGCACAACATGCCACTTTGAGAGAACAGATAAAGATCTCTGTTATAGAGACACTAAATTATAACTATTAAGATGATTATGATTATGACTATCAGGAATTAAGTGCAACAATAAAATGTGGTGAAAATTAATTGCACTAATTATTCAATAATTTACTATGGAACACAAACATTTTTTTTACCTATATGCTAATCTTTTGAGCCCTTGCAAAAATGAAACTTTACAGAAATAGTGTAGGCTAGTAACCAGGTTTTGTTTTTATTGTATTGATAGCCTACATTATTAATCATTCTTTATTAATATGTTCATTTATTTGCAAAAACATGGTTAATTTTCATGAATAATGTGTTGTGGAAAATATACATTGACCTAGGACCTTAAAATAATGAAAAGGTAACCAAAATATTTAACAACAAAAACAACAACAACACAATAATAATAAATAATACATTCATTTTCTTTTCAGTTTATTCCCTTTATTAATCTGTGGTTGTCACAGCAGGATGAATCGGCAACTTATCCAGCATATGTTTTACACAGTGGATGCCCTTCCAGCTGTCAAATAATAATAATAATAATAATAATAATAATAATAATAATAATAATAATAATAATAATAATAATAATAATAATAATAAATAGATAAATAACATGTTATCTACATTTTTACTGTTACTGATACTTGACATCAAAAATATGTAATCTAAATACCCAATAATCAACAAGTCGAGCATTGAGGAGGTTTTAAGCTTGTAAAGGACACTTTAAAATTAGCCTATTTACTAGCTTTTTTATGACGCATTTATTTTTAAGCGGGTAAATAGCATTGTACAGACACATTTGTACTTAATTGTTAGATTTAAATTAGAATCCTAAAAGTTTGTGTTACAAAGTCATGTAAGGCAAGCTCTATTCTGTTCTTCACATCACTGGAACGCACTGTAAGTTAAAATAAATACCCGGACTGTTGTATTTTGTAGGCGCAGCCAGCCTTGCAATTTCAAACCCATGATGCAATACGGCTCAGCCGCCATGTTTGCTGTGCAGATGTTTTCAGAGCTCAGACCGAAGAGGTTTATGCTAAGCTAACGGCCTGAAGCTCTGCACTTAAACCAGTTTCAATGCACTCATCGACGTTATAGAGATACCAGAGTCTCCAAGATAACATACAGTCTTGGGTTATGGCGACCATTGTCGGGGGTATGAAGTGTTTCGTAATATTTATTTACAATTACTTTAGCTCCATGCTAGCGCTAAAGACGTAACGTTAGCTGCTTTTGTTTCACAATTTGATGCGCTACTTAATTGTGCAGTGGGTTTACAGATTAAATACTGTTTACCTTTATACCACGACTGTTTGTTTGACTGATTATTGTTGTTATGGTGTGTCGTGTTAACGATCGTGTTATGAGTAAGCTTGCATTTGCTTGTTTATGCGTATTCGTGATTGCTAGCTGAAATGTTGCAATGAATGAGTTATCTGTGTTTATATGTGAAGCCCCGACGGATGTTTTGTATATTGATAGGGATTTATTTACTGGGTTAAGAAATGTCGTATGTAGTGAAATGAGGTTGTGTCTGTTGTGTCTGTTGGTTATGTAAGCATCTGTCTCGACACTGAGCAACACTTGTTTTAACCAGACGAGAGGTATACATTTCGGAATAATCATGTTTTTAACAATTATTAGACTATCTGTTACTGTGTAATAATAACTTATAAAAAGTGTGTGTGCTTTACAACATTTTCTCTTATAGATGGGTTCGTCATTTATTTAATCCGTTCTTACGTTAATTGATATATTCTTGACAGGTTGATTAGATTTACAGTACGTTATATAGGATGCATTCTTGTTCTGTATCTGATTTCATTTAGATGCAGATGAAATATGCTTGAAAGCAGTTGTTGCTTTAGCATAATCGTGCTGCATAGTTATGCTCTAATCATGATTCGATGAAGGCTTGTTGTGGAGCTTAGAATCTAACGTTAAACAAAAAGTGACTTGATATTGTTTTGAAGTGGCTTCTTTTCTGGTTCAATTTTGAAATGTTTCTTGTAGAGTTTAAAGCTGATTATGTAATTTTAAAAGTTGTTGCTTTATACACTTAATAGACTTTTTAACCACAAAATGAAACTTTCTGTTTCACACAAACAATTAGGGCTGGGCTGTTTGGCCTAAAATCTAAATCTTGATTAATTGAATGTTTTAACTTAATTACGATTAATGAGCTATTATTTAAAATATTTTGCCCTCATAGTTCACTGAGAGGTTTTGTACAGTAAATATGCTCACATATTATAATTGAGAGATTTTTGAATAAAGGGGCACTTCTTGATTTAAAATAATTTAAGAAAACACACGCAATCTACTACCTATGATTATTTATTGAACATCATTGTTGAACAACTGAAACTAAAGCATACGTTGCCTAAAACCAACAGTCACTTTTTTCTTATAAAAAAGTGAAAATGAGTAATTTGCACTTTTGGAAACAAAATTAATTATTTTCAGAGTTTTTCATATTAAAAGTAGAAAAAAGGAGCATCTCTTCTAAATAAAAAACACTTGCATGTCCTGTAAATAATGTTTTATGCTGTGCATTTCTTGCATCGTCTGTAAACAATTATTTTAATGTAAATAATAATTTGATTGTAATAGAAAACATGCCATCTCAAGGCATCTCTGGTGCAGCTTCCAATCATCAACAATGTAGTGCAAACGTGTGATGTGTAGTAACATTTTTTGAGAGGTGCTCAGGTATGTAACCATGTGAAGGCTGCACCGGACCATACCCATACTCGTATCCATGCGTTCGACGCAGAAGCATAAATCAGCCTTAACAGAGCGGGATCATGTGGGGAATAATTTCAAAAATTGGCCTGGAATAATTAGATTGATTATAGGTTCCGAATGTCGATTTCGATTAATCGTCCAGCCCTACAAACAATATATCAATACATTTCTCAGTTGTTTAGTCCATATAATGGAAGAAGGCACCAAAGCTCATTCAGACAATCTAGGTTTAAAATGACCTTAAAAGTTATCACGGATGATAGTTTCATTGTTTTAATGAACTGCCCCTGTAAAAATGGGCCTTTCTGAGTCCCAAGTGTCACAATATATTTTGTGTGCGAGGCCTGAACATGTACTTTGTAATCATTCATAACATGATCATTCTCCTGTTTGTACATAGATGATGAGTTTGATGAGTATGATAAGCCTGGTGCTGAAAGGTCAAGAAGACGGAGAGGAGAAGATGATGATGACTTGGAGAGGTAAGTCCTCATCGATGCCATTTTTCTGGCTCTGTTTTGCTCTGCACTTTTCATGTCTCTTTTCCACAGACTGGAAATGATGTCATCAGGTTTTTGGAAACACAATTACCTGTCATAGATTACAGAAGCATAGATATATATGTTTTTGCTTGCTGTTGAGTGTGGTCTTTGCATAGAAAATGTTGGTTGTTTTGCTCTGCAGTGAGAGTATCTTGCTTTTCATGAAGATTTCATTGTAAAAGTGTGTATATTTTAATCAATTGACAGTGATTTTGAGGAGGGAGACTTGCTTGAAGATGATTGGCTGTCATCAAAAAAGGTAAAGTAAATTTTTTTAATTACATGACACTTGGTTATACTTGCTTATATTCATCATAATCACTTTTTACATTTTGTGAATTTGTTTTTAGAAAAAAAAACAACAACATTTGATCTTAAAATTTCTGACTTGTAAATGTCAATAAGCATCCGTATTAAACTAAAAGCAATACAGAAATATTTTCCAGCAGCTGTACAGCAAGTTAAAATTTTTAAACATTTTAAATCCTACTAAAAATCAAGTGGATTAAGCAGACGTTCTGGTTCATGAGCATTTAAATAGATTTCTATGTTTCATTTACTTTTTTTGTCCCCACTCAGAACCCCTCAGAGCTGTCAGATGAGGAACTGAACGATGATCTCTTGCAAAGTGATGAAGAAGACCAAAATATAAGGTACCTGCTAAAATGCTCTCGAATAAATTCATCATTATGCCTTATTTATTTCCAGGCTGAAAGTAAAATCAGACTTAAATAAGATATAAGATATTTCACATGGACTGTCCACACTAATCAAGTCAGATGTGTTTGTCAAAGCAACCAATTCAAATAGGCCAGTTAGGTCTTTACAAAGATGTAGTAACAGTGTAACAGTAAAACATGTAACAGTGCTTTCAAAACCGATGAATGAAAGTTGCGTGTGCTTTATTTATCTTTCCAAGTAAGCACATTTCCCACATAAAGAGCTTAGTGATCGAGGCAAGTGGTGTACAGTGGGGATCGAAAGTTTGGGCACCCCAGGTAAAAATTTGTATTAATGTGCATAAAGAAGCCAAGGAAAGATGGAAAAATCTCCAGAAGGCATCAAATTACAGATTAGACATTCTTTTAATATGTCAAAAAAGTTAGATTTTATTTCCATCATTTACACTTTCAAAATAACAGAAAACAAAAAAATTGGCGTCTGCAAAAGTTTGGGCACCCTACAGAGTTAAAATCTTGTACTGCCCCCTTTGGAAAGTATCACAGCTTCTAAACGCTTTTTGTAGCCAGTCAAGAGTCTTTCAATTCTTGTTTGAGGTATCTTTGCCCATTCTTTCTTACAAAAGTCTTCCAGTTCTTTGAGATTTCTGGGCTGTCTGTCATGCACTGCTCTTTAAAGGTCTATCCATAAATTTTCAATAATGTTGAGGTCAGGAGATTGTGAAGGCCATGGCAAAACCTTCAGTTTGCATCTCTTGATGTAATCCATTGTGGATTTTGAGGTGTGTTTAGGATCATTATCCATTTGTAGGAGCCATCCTCTCTTTAACTTTAGCTTTTTTACAGGTGGCATCAAGTTACCATCCAAAATTTGCTGAAATTTTATTGAATTCATTTCTCTTTCTACTCGTGAAATGTTTCCTGTGCCACTGGCTGCAATAAAAGCCCAAAGCATGACTGAACCACTTCCATGCTTAACAGTTGGACAGAGGTTTTTTTCATTAAATTCTGTGCCCTTTCTTCTCCAAACGTACCTTTGCTCATTCCGGCCAAAAAGTTCTATTTTAACCTCATCGGTCCATAGAACTTGTTTCCAAAATGTATCAGGCTTGTCTATATGTTCATTTGCAAAGTTCAAACGCTGTTTTTTTGTGGTGAGGACGTAAAAGAGGTTTTCTTCTGATGACTCCATGAAGACCATATTTGTACAAGTATCTCTTTATAGTGGAATAGTGTACCACAGTTCCAGTGTCTGCCAGATCTTTCTGGAGGGATTGTGCAGTCAAACGTGGGTTTTGACTTGTTTTTCTCACAATCCTGCGAGCTGTTCTGTCTGATATTTTTCTTGGTCTTCCAGAACTTGCTTTAACTTCAACTGTTCCTGATGACTGCCATTTCTTAATTACATTCCGTACAGATGATATTGGCATCTGAATACGCTTTGCTATCTTCTTATAGCCTTTTCCCTTTTTTGTGAGCATCAACTATTTTCAGTTTCAGTTTTCTAGACAACTGCTTAGAAGAACCCATGATGCTGATTGTTGGGGCAAGGTCAGATGAGTTGGATGAGTTTAGGCATTTAAAACCTTTAAGATTGACATCACTTGGTCTTTGCTGACGATGATTGAGAACAATCCATGACACTGTCAGGTCTCAGATTTCCAAAGGGGGCAGTGCATGCTATAAACTCTGCAGGGTGCCCAAACTTTTGCAGACGCCATTTTTTTGTTTTCTGTTATTTTGAAAGTGTAAATGATGGAAATAAAATCTAACTTTTTTGACATATTAAAGGAATGTCTAATCTGTAATTTGATGCCTTTTGAAGATTTTTCCATCTTTCCTTGGCTTCTTTACGCACATTACTACAAATTTTTACCTGGGGTGCCCAAACTTCCGATCCCCACTGTATATTGTGATCAGCATTTAAATAAGTTCAGAGAAATTCAGCTGTCACATTAAATTTTAGGCATTCAGACATCAGAAACATATCTAGACAAATTTACTTCCTGTTTAAAAAGGAACTTGAACAGTTTATGAAAGGCAAGAGTTTTCAATAACCTGAAAACATAGATACTGCAAAAAACATTTATGATTTAAGGAGTGGTTTTCTAGATTTGTCTTGACTTTGAAAGCAATACAGAGATCTGTTTTTTCTGTGTATGTTGTATTTGTTCCAAATAGTTTTTTTTGTTTATTTTTTATTTAGCAAAATTGCAACATGTACTTTTATTATGGCTGCATGACAAATAAAAATTTAGCCAAAGCTGCAATTGTCATGCACATATTGTCAGGGAAGCATGGTTCTGTGATCAGTAGTAAAGGTGAGGGTTTTATGTTTCTCTGTATCGAGTTTCTTCATGGATTTTTTTTTCTGAACTCTACCTTAATGTACAAGTAGCTATAACTCGCTCATTCAGAGACGGGAACTGGCAGACATGCACCAACTTTAATCATAAACTAAACACAACAAAAGTTTCCATCTGGAGCTCTTTTAACGCGACTCAACACTTATAAACACTGGCTTTAGCAAGCTCATGGCTCTCAACAGTTTCCACACTCATCAGTGCTACCAAGCCGACCAATTACAGAGCTTGCACTATGCATTGTTGCTACATGTTGCATTTTTCGAGGGTTGCACGTCAGCATCAGCCATGGCAAGGGCTATTTGACCACACGAAGGATGTACTGGACCATACCCGTGCGCTTGGCACAAAAGTATTAATCAGCCTTAAGGCCAGAAGGAAACCCCAAATGTTCACCGAAGTAGAAAACCAGAAAATTCCTATTGCATTTGCTGAACACAGAATACATTTAACTGCTTTCACTGATTTAACATGACTAATCAACACATGACAATATATGGCCTATCTAATATCTTATAATTTTCTTCTTAATAAAGTTTATAATAGTACTATGCCTTCATCACTGCTTGGGAAAAATACGAAATATGTTATTTCTGTTTATTCTTTTGAAGAAGCCAAATCATCTTACTTAACTGGTCTCTATCACTCAAAGGAAGTTATGAAGTGAGTTTGGACTAGTGTTGTCATGATAAGGATGTTTCTAATTTAAATCCAATACCAACCACAGAGGAACAAAAGCAACCACAAAAATCACGGAAACCGCAGTGATTACTATTTCTGATATTATGCCTTTTTTACCACTGAATGTTAAATACATTAAATATGAATAGGCCTACAATAGTGCTCTGATTGTTTGTTTATGTCCAGTGATGTCTTCTGTCTGGCAATACTTCTGTTTTAATCGACTCTGCATGTCAGTCTTTCAAGTGCTTTACTAAATGTGTTGTATTAGCGGATTGCTCTGTAGCAATGCTTGAATAGCACTAGATTGGACTAAAAGCATGTAACTAGTTGTGGTACTTTTACATGCTGTCAGATATAGCAGCATTTTCTACAGAACCATAGTTCACTGAGAAGCATCTCAAACAGCTGTCATCACAGCATGATTATCTTTGATTTCATTATTTTGAAGTTAAATTGTAAATTGCTAAATTCTATAGCTTGTCATAGAACTACGACTTTGTAGTACATGCTGCTCTGTCTGGAAGCACATGGTGGAAATTTACTGCTGATTGCACTACTGACTTCATTGACAAAATGCATATGGCATTTGCTTTCGTTTAATTGTGCAGTCCTTACTTAGAAAAACCATTAAAATTGGCTGAATTAAAAAGAAAAAAACATTGTTATTACTATTAATGTTTACATGTGGTCATATGATCTCAATATGGTCACATCTTTAATGTTTTTATAAGATTTTTCTGGCCAAATGTATATGAAAGATTCATTGTGTTAGAGCATGTTAGATATGTTGTAGAAGACATTAATCTACGAAAATGCCAATTGTATTCTTTTTCATAGGAAACCTGATTTGCGGCATTGTGCATGCTAAACTTACAAAAATTAATATTTGTTCTGGTTCTGACAGTACGACTCCACCTCTTAACACAAATGTTCTAACTGCAAAATACTTAAATCTACAATCTAAAATCGGACTACTATTAAAGTGTTTTTATGAGTGTTGAGGTATATAATAATGTTAGTAAAATACTCTTCAGCTTGTGGTGGGGTCAAAATGACATTTTCCCAATAATTTATTCAAAGCCTCAATACTCTAAAGCCAACAGGAGCAATTCATCCATGACATAATTACAGCTGACATTGAACTAACTTTGACACCTTCTACCTTAAGTGACGTGTTTAAAATAGCAAATTTGAGTGACATGCTTCACTTCAGTCTCTGATGTAACAGTAACTCAAGGTCACTTGTACATCACCCATTTACTCATCCTGCTATTTACTCTAAATACCCTAATTAACAAGCCAAGCTTTGAGGGAGATTTATATAAATGACACTTTGCATTATTTATTAGCCTATTATGTCTTTTTAAGGAGGAAATAGCACTTTACAAACATAATTACACTTATTTATCAGCTTTGAACTAGTACACTGGTACACCCCTTGTACACTAGTATTTTTATAAATGTAGTTTTTTCCACTTTTGTTTAAAACAAAACTCTGTCTTTGTGATGCACGTTAAGGGCACACCAAACCAACAGGTTGAAATAAGGACATGTTTCTGCTGAGCTCACGCTAAATAGAGAATGAAGTATATTTTGCAAGTAAACATTATACAAGTCAATAAAAACGCAAGAACGGAGGCAGATTACCGTGCCTCGGTCCAACAAGATGCGATACGTTTGCTGCAAACATGCAAAATTTGACTCATTCACATCTTCCGGGTTTGGTTGTGAAGTGTGAATAGTGCGGACACTTGACATCATGAGTCAAATCTCCAGTTCTAGTTACCACATGACCACACTGTACTTGGACTTTAACATAATCTTCACCCTGTTTTCAGAAAGTATTAGTTTCCGCATTATGATGCTCAGTTTTTGTGTGGACTAAAAGCGAAACCACACACAAAAATAGTGTGGTTAAACATACCAGTGTTCATGTGGACAGGGCCTTAGAATGAAAATAGCATGTTAAAGGAAAAGTTGTCATATAATATGTATAATCTGTCCTGCACCATCACTGGAATGCACTGTATAAGAAAAGGAAATCTACAAAAATGACCAATTTACCCACCCTCCTCCAAACCTGCATGAATTTCTTTCTTCTAATTAACATAAAACAGCTTTGGTAACTCACTAAGATCTGTTTTTGTTTGTTCTCTGTGTGTCTGTTAACCAGTGGTCAAGGTGAAGCCGTAAGTTTGAATGCGACGCTGGGTATGGGCACTTCTGTTGACTTCGAAGATCCAGGTGGATATTCAGGAAATGCTTATAAAGAGGGTGAAGGGGGCCAGGCGGGTTTCTCTCAGGATGGACAGTATGAAGGAGATGAGTACCAAGCTGTGGATGAAGGGTTTGAATACAGAGGAGAGCAGAATTTAGCTGTATATCAAGACGAGGTGCTGGACCTTCAGATCGACGAGCCACTGGATGACGATTTCCAAGTAAGCAATGCGTTCTCCTTTCTTACTCTATGGCTTACACACACTCTCCATAATCCCCCAGCACATTTCCTGCATGTCTACAGCCTGACAACTCGTGCTTTGTGACCCTCAGGCCTCAGGGTTTTGTTCAGGCGAGACTCTTTTCACAGTCTTTGTTCAGCAGATGTCCTGCCAATCCATGCTGGCGAATGGGAAGAGCTCTTAGACAGGATCTGATAAAGTTGGCTGTAGGTGAAAAGATTACTGACCTTCTTTAAAGTGGTCTTTAGCAGACACAACACAGGGGCATGATTGATGAGTTGTGTCCTTTCTGTACATGTTTATTTATTTATTTGCTTGGATCTTAAAGAGATTCTTCACCCGAACTTGAGAAGTCTGTTATCATTTACTCATCCAAACCCAGATGAGATGTTAAGTGCATGGTTTATGAATTATTTATATCAGTTTCTTTCTAGATAGAGCAATATTTGTTTGAATTAAACAAAAAAATATATAAAAAAAACTCTTTCAATAAAAAAAAAAAATCAAAACAAAAAAAGGCTGTATATACTTTCCTCTGAGTTAATTATAATTTGTCTTTCTAAAACCACAGAAGTTATATTTTAACCATTTTGGATGTGTAAAATTAATCAAATGGAATGAATTTGAACATTCAAATGTCCAAATTCGAATTTATTTAGTTTCTAATGTTTCATATCTTATTAAATTACACATTGCAAACCACAATATCAGACAATGACTTAGTCATAAAAAGTCATAAAGAGCTCATTTCTGTGTGTTTTGCTCACTGCTCCTTGTTAAATTTTTTTTGCATGATAGTCTGGCACATCCCTACTGGTGCACTGTCATTCATTAGGCTTGCATTGGTGACATGATTTGATATTAATTGTGTGTAAATGTCCCTGTTAGTTTGTTTGGACAAAATGTTAAAAAATAATTGCATGTAAATGTGTCTTTCTATTTATTTTGTTTAGCAGTACTACTGTGAAAATAACAAGTTTGTGCAAATATGTCTTTTAAATTTAGTAAAAGTCTTGTTTTAAATGGAAAACGTGATACCATTGTTATTTCATTTAGCATTTTTGACCTCGATAACACAAAATGAATCTTTCCCCAATTCACGCAGCTCTACAGGCAAATGATGTTGTGTTTCTGATTGGTCAGTGGCAGGACATGTTTTACAACCAATGCAACGTGATATTGCCTGGTATTACACAAAGTAAATCTCTTTTGTCATCCGAGTGTGAACTATTTTCACCAAGAAAGTGATTCATTAAATAAATGTTAATTTTATTGCTTTACCTACAATAATTGAACTTCAGTTTCTTAAATTAATACAAAGTAATGGTGTCTTCAGACTAGGGCTGCACAATATATCGTTTCCGCATCGATACCGTAATGTGCACATCCCCAATAGTCACATCACAAAGGAATTTAATGTTAAGTCTGGATTATAGTTAACCAGTTGCTACAGAATTGTATTTTATTACTGTTTTTATACAGAATTTACGCGATTATTCAGTGTACGCGAGTACACTGAATAATAGGGCGGTTTAACAAACAGGGCTTATTTTAGTCCAGGACTAGGCCTTTACTAAATTATGTGATTTTAAGTAGCTGTTATAAAAAGTCTACCCTTTAAATATTACTGGAAGGGCTCCACGATATTGAAAGATCTGGCATCGCAATATTTTGTTTTGCTGCTATATATTGTGATTTGAATATTATTTCAACATATGGTTTGAATTGCTCTATTTGTAAAGATTTCGTTTAGATCAACTGTGTTGGTCAAGCTTTTTGCTATGCTGTACATCTGCATAAAATATAATAGATTTATTAATACAAAAACATATTAATATGACAGCAAAAATAAAAGTAGAGTAAACAGTGCTTAATGAATTTCTGGGGAGTCCAACAGTATTCAAATACAGGAATTGAACAATTAAATGTAAAATAAAATAATCATCATTGTAGGGCTGCACAATAAGTCATTTCAGCATCAACATCGCAATGTGCGCATTTGCAATGAGCACATCGCAATGTTGAGTCTGAAATGTAGTTGACCAGGAGCATATACATGTTTTTCTTACTTAGAATTTTTTTTCTCTTTCTAGTCCAAATATATACATTTCAAGGCAAAAACAAGATTATTTTACTTACCACGCTGGCAGATAATTTTGCTTGTTTTAAGGAAAGCTTCTTAATTTTTACTTATTTCTTCTAAAGTTGAAAATTAAACAATATTTTTTATTTGATCTACGAGTTTTAGATATTTGGACTAGACATTAAACAAAGTAAGAATTTTTTTTCTGCATTCTGATTGTACAATTTCTTTACCTGAATTCTGTTAGACTGCCCAGAAATTTTTCAAATAGTGCCATTCAACTATCTTGTGGAATATTGCAGTATTTATAGCAGAAAATTAAAATAGTGAAATATTAGAATTTTTCAATATCGTGCAGCCCTACATCATTGTATGAATAATAAAAAATAATAATAAAAGAAATTATCTTTTAATCTTTAATAACTAATCTAATTCTGCAATCTGACTATTGCGTATATACACATTGCAATATCGATGCTCAAACAATATATTGATCAGCTCTTATTATTAGTGTGTATCTTAACATTTTTTATGGCACTGATGTATTTGGTTTATAATTTAGTCTAGGAAAGCCTTAAGCCTTGCCTCAGAAACTCGTCTTGGGAAATGTGTCTGAAATCAGATTAGGGTTTTTCTCTGTAATAAAACAATGGGAACTTCTATTCCAATATTGTCATTGCTTCAATTCTGCTTTAGTTTCAGTGTTCACTTTGACCATATGATATCTCTGTTTACAAGGTCGCTTGGCTGCTGGCGCTTAGCATCTTTGTGTTTACTGTTATCCAGAGTTAATGTGTGGAACGATTTAAAGGATTAACCGTTTGCCCTGTAGTTGGCCAGTTCATGTGCTCTGCACAAGATACATGTTGTAGTCATTTGGATCTGTCTGACCTTGTGTCCAACTCTAGTTCTGCGTGTGTGCATACATGGAGGCACTGCTTTGTATGTGTATTAGTGTATATAAACAAAATTTTCAATGGCTTTTGATGGCGTCAGTGGTGTCTTTTGCCTCAATTTATTGGACATAAATGAGCTAAATATGATTTGCTATGGTCAAGCTGTGGCCATTGAGCATCAGGGTTAGTCATTTTACACAAAGACACAGAGTGATAAAACCCCGTAGGACTCGAGGCTCATCAGACTGCTGCTTTTGTTCTGTCTTTCATTGACCTTTAATGCAGGACAGATGTCGTTGAACGTTCTACCTGTCCATGTGATTGCTTGATCACTGCATCCAGGACAGTGCTGACAGGTGCACAGAGAGCCGGCCCTCACATCTCATTTCGCAAGTTTGCTTCTTCATTGCCAGTTTCCTCTTAATTCTGTACCTTACAATAAAGGCTTATTCCTCCCACACAGATCTGGATTCTCAGTAAAAAAATCACCTGAAGCGTGTTGTAATAAAAGCGTACAGCACACGTTTTCTCAAGGATATGGCTAAAAAGATACTGTCTCTTCAAATATAGGTTGGTCTGAGTACTGTTGACTTTCCATAGCAGTGAAATCTGTGTTGTCCAAATGGATTATAAAAGGTGCCCTGTGACAATGTTTACTATTGGATTTTGCTTGTGCCTAAAGGTGAGATGTTAGTCGCTTTAGGCGTCATGACTCCAAGGCTACGTGAATGGTGCAAACCAGATGGAGTTAGTTTGGATCTGTTTGTCCCCATAATCATGGTTGCTGGCCTTATTTGAATACATGAAAATTTCATGTCAGTCTAGATTGATATCTGCCATAATTCTGCACTGATGGAAGTTAAAATTTTTCTTTGGGCTTGTAGTTTACGTTACCGGTACAAGTTGTAAATCTTTAATTGGTAAAGTGTTTAATTATTTGGAACATTTAAAATTGTCTGTTTAGTACGCAAGTTGTTATGGTGAATTTTCAGCAGTCATGACCATTCATGAATACCCACTCTTACTTCAGGTCGCTAGGTTATTTGTGTCAGGCTGATGTTATTGTTTTTAGATTGCAGTAGCCCTCAATAAATCTGAAGTTGACCATGTGGGCAGAACGTTCATACATCAGCTGGAAAACATCCAGTCAGACATCACTTATCTAGTGGCGGTTGCTTATGAGATACAATAGGATGCTAAATAATGCAATATTTCAAAACTTTTTCATTTTATTACAGGGAAAAGAAAGCATCACTATTAAAGTAAACAGCCATGTTTTACTGTTCGATAAAGCAAAGCAAAAAGCAGACATTTTAACAATGTAAACTAGGGGTGCTCAACCCTCTTTCTGGAGATCTACCTTCCTGCAGATTTCAGTTGCATCCCACATCAAATACACCTGCATTTTTATTATCAAGGGTTGTTCATGTCCTAATTATTTGGCTCATGTGTGTTTGATTAGGGTTGGAGCTAAACTCTGTAGGAAGATAGATCTCCAGGAACAGGGTTGAGCATGCCTGATGTAAACAAACAAAATAAATTTAATATGGCTAGCACTTTGCTCCACTGGTATAGCTTTATCAAGCTGAAACAGAGCAGAGTTACTGTCTTGCTGTTACTTTCTGACATAGCTTGATTGCTTGGTCATAACATATTTAAGCAACCATACTAAGCAGTTAAAATGATTAAATTGACCAAATAAAAGAGCTAAAAGCATATCTTCAGGCTGAGTAAAATAGACAAAACACTGTAGGTGATTGGACACTGAATACAAAACTTTCATCCGTAATTTTTGCAGGTTAAAAACATTCATTCGAACTCACGATGTGTTGATCATTTTGACACACTGTGTATGGATGTTTCCCAGTGATGGTTGCAGCCGGGAGGGCATCCACTGTGTAAAACATATGCTGGATAAGTTGGCAGTTTTTTCTGCTGTGGCGACGCCAGTTTAATAAAAGGGACTAAGCCGAAAATAAAATAAATGAATGAATAAATCTTAGAAAAGCACTTTAAAAATGAGCTTAACCCTCCTTCTTCTCTATACAGTATTGAATGAACACCCATTCCTCCTTTTTTACTTTGGAGAAAAAAGGAGACTCAGAAATGTTGAGTTTTTTCGTAATACATTAATACGCATCGGACTGGTTTGTTTACTTGATGAATTTTTTGCATATGAATATGAAAAAATGCATATGAAAATTGATTTCAGTGTGCAAAGACCTTAAGGCACATTGCCTGTAAGATTATGTTCATACATGTATCTCTCCTAGTGCTTTAAAATATGTAGTCAGGGTTTTGTATATGGCGTGGGTTCACCCAATCAACTTGCATTACTGGTACTTCCTATTGTGGTGGGCGAAACCCTTCTCTGAAGTATAGGCTAATTTAGTTCCTATAACTAATAAGTTCCTAGTTCCTGTGGTGCAGACATTCAAAAAAAATGTGTGTACTTTTATGAAGAAGTTCCTCTGGTGAGAGAGCCCCCAAAAGCCGTGGTAGAGGATGGGAAGCTCAGCAAGGTAGTCAGCAGATGCTGTGCGCTTGTCTCTCTGGATGCTTTTGTACATTCTGTGCTCGAGTGTGTGTGAGAATTTGTTCAGAGTCGGATGATGATATTTCCCTGTCAGTGAGCTATGTGTGCGCTGGAGCTTTCTTTGTGTCTGTTTGCGCGTGCGTGTGTGCGAGTGTGTGTAAAGACAACACAGTCAATGATATTTTCACCACCACTGAGCCGTGTGCGTGTTTATCTCCCATTCTCTGTGTATCATGTCAAACATTTACATCTCATTGAATTTCAAATATCAGCAGGAATGGTAATAGGGCATAGTAATGAGACTGGGCTCCCACTGTTATGCTAATTAAGGAAGACTCCCCTTCAGCGCCCCCTTTCCCTCCCCTCCCCGATTTCAGATTGCTGCACTGGGCCTTTCCGGCCTCTTGCTCAGAAGTGCCATTAAAGGGATAGTTCATCCAAAAATAAAAAAAAATCTGTCATCATTTACTCGCCCTTCACTTGCTTTTTCTGTTAAATACAAACTAAGATATTTGGAAAAATATTAGATGAGAATTGAATGGCATTGTATTAGCATTGACTTCCATAGTATTTGCTTTTCCTATATAGATGCCAGTGGTTACAGGTTTCTAACATTTTTTAAATTGGCCTTTTTTGTGTACCTTAAACAGAAAAAGGAACACATGAAGATATAAAACCCCTTGAGTGTGAATAACTAGTATGTATTTTATCTTTTTAACTGGGGCCATGAAACCCCCTAAATTTTTTTTGAGATTTTTAAGATCCAAATCTCTTTTCTATGTAGAAGTAGAATATTAAAATATATTAGGATATAGGTTGTGCATTGCTAAAAATATGCAATAATCACATTGCAGGATCTGCAATGTCAAGTGGGGAAAATAATTAACCCGCAACCCCAGTTTAGAGCAGATGATTTGATTGTAAAGTTTAACTGTTGTATAATAGTGTGAAATATTTTTTTAATGTTATTTCAGTGCCTGTGAGATTAAGATTTCAAGTGAATTTAAACAATTTTGGCACAAAAAAACTATAAAGTTTTCCACTTTAGCTTAATAATTATGTTTATTTGTGCAATGAATATTACATGCAGTGTTGCTTTACATTGATTATTGAATTTCTGTACCTTGATACTGTTAAACTCTTTGGAAAAAAAACATATAGTGATGTTTGTTTTATTTTGGATCATTGTTCTATTGTTTTCATTAATGCTTAAGTTTATTTTATGGTAATTTTGTATATTTTACGCAGATGCACTCACCTACAAAATCCCAAAGTCAAAGTCAAACTCCCAATCAAATTAAAATTGAGTTTTTTTTTTCAAATAGACTTTCTTAAGGGATCTTGTGAAATTATATTCATACCGCAATATAAAATGCAGAAAAACAAAATATCGCAAAAAAAGAAAAGAAAGATGAGTGTCCCCCTTTTCTTCAGACAGTCACAGCACAGTTCTGCTTGATTTGACTGTCACCTGCCATTTTAGTGGGTCTGAAAGCAGGAATTATCTGACTGAAATGGACTTATAAAGGAATAATGTAACGGGCCTCTATTACATTTAACATTCACTTTTTAAAACCCGACATTTTTACAACCGATTAAGGTCTCACAGGGCTCGAAATTAACCTTTTTTTCTGGGTTGCACAAGTGCTCCTAACTTTAAAAATGTAGGCGCACCAGACAAAATTTAGTCGCACCCACCAAAAATTATGAGCACCGTTACTACACGTTTTATATTAACAGATTCTATTATATATTAACACTCTAATCACAACTAACAAATAAACAAAAATCAAAAATGAATGACATTCATTACATGATCACTAATCAGATCTGCCATTATTTGTAACTCTAGCTGGTTTCTAAAACTAAATCTGTCAGTGTTGTTAATATTCTCTCGTATCCAGCGTAAACATTTTTGCGACTGTATTTCCCTGTCATCGGAACTGAGTGATCGACAGCTAATATTAAGCAATCCATTAGCGTTCTGTTCTAGCGCAGTGGGCCAATAAGAAGAGCTTGAAGGCGGGGCAAGCAGGGCTTTATTTACTGCAGCAAGTTGACATGTCAACTGTTTTAAACTATTCTTGAGCTCTGTGTTTGGCGTTTTTAGGTGCAAAGTTGCTTAATGTTTGAATGCCTCCTAATTCCGTGCATGTGGTGAACATTTTGCTGTGAAAACTGGTCGCACAACATCAGGGCAATTTCGAGATCTGTCTCATATCCACAGCTTTAAATGTTTTGCCCTGTTTGAATCTGTAGGAATTGTCTGTCTGAATGCTGCGAGAATAGTTGCATATAGTGCGCGCGTTTCCAGCTTTTGTGTAATTTCGTGATGTCAGTGTAAATGAGTTGACATGCTCGAATATTACCGCTGAAATAGCTTATCGCTGTGGTTGATGTTGTGGTTTTTTCCACAACTCTCTTACCATCACCCTCATAACTTACAGGGAAACCAAAGTGCTCCCAAACGCCAGACCCACTGTTGGTTATAGGAGGATTACATTAACGTTACTAGCCATTTTGCGAGCTAGTGCAGCGTATGACTGGAGTAGTGTTTGGAGGTGGGCGGGAAAGGCAGCATGTCACATCATTTGGGTTTAGTTCTTGTTGACGCCATTATATATATATATATATATATATATATATATATATATATATATATATATATATATTTTTTTTTTTATGTGTTTTTTAGGACAGTGGATCTGATCTGTCATGCCCTATTTGTGATCTGATTGAGATACTCCTTTCAGAACTGCCTTATCTGCTACTCACGGCATTCATTTCACAGTGTGTGTGTGTCTGCATTGCTGTTGTTCAAATTAGCTGTCTTTGTGTGTAACGAATCTTCTCGTTTTAGGCAGTCCCTTCTCTCTTTCCTTAAATTTTAATTTTTACTCTTGCCTCTACACGGTAGAAGTGCTCCTTTTCCAGGTTTCTCGATGCTGTTAAAGCATTTTTTTAGTAATAAAAAAAATTATATAGATTTTTGCATCATTCTAATGTTTTATCCTCATCAATGTTGTTTTTGACATTGAACAGTAGCATTCATCTATAACATGCTAGAGCAGCAGGTGTTTCAATAGAGGATGCGCTGGTGCCCTTATGCTCAAGTTCTGCTTAAATCACCAAATAAATATTTGATTATCTCTTACAGGTGGATGAGTACCCAACAGAATATAGAGAGCAGGAGACCAACCAACAACAAGTGGCTGAGGAGGAAGACGAGGCGAATGAGGAGGAAACGGAGGAGCAGGACAGCTCTCATGTCACTGAATTAGAGGAGGTAAAGGATGAGTTTGTGGTCTCTTCATTCATGATGATGATTTAAAGTCACACCGTCTGATGCAAGTTCACTGCAAACTTCAGGCAGACAATGAAAACGATCTAGAAGCTGAGCATGAGCAGGATGCAGATGTAAAGGAGGAGTCTGATGAGGAAGAGGAAGATGATGAAGAATCTGGCCGCCTGCGATTTAAGACCGAGCGCAAAGATGACACAGTGGTCCGGTTGTCTGATGTTGCCAGTAAAAGAAGAAACATCCCAGAAACATTAGGTTAGTTGCTAACAAATAAAGCACTGTATTGTTTGTATTGTTACAAAGGTGTTAATCCTGTCAATTAAAAAAAAAAACAATGATGAAAAATCACCTTGATTACCTTTTTTGTAAGGCTAAGACGAGATGAAGATGACACAGATGACATTAGACAATAATAGTGACTACATCAGCATATATTGTCATTGATGAAAAAAAGACTAAACTAAAGTGCAATCAAAGGTATCAAACCTAATCAACATCTTTTTATTTTTTGTCATATTCTCTACATTTTTGTTATATTTTCTTTGGACTGAGATGTTGTAATAGTTAAAAATTTAAATTGTGTCTAAGTGCTTTAAAAAGAAAGTATTAATGTTTTTTTTTAACCAAATGATAGTAAAAATATATATTTTTTTAATTAAAGGGATAATTTACCCAAAAACAAAAATTCTGTCATCAGCCTTGACTTAATTAAAATCAGTTTAATTATTTTGTTCTGTTGAACGCAAAAGAAAATATTTGGGAATAAATCATTATATTCATAGTAGAAAATCAAATACTATGAAATGGTTTCCAGCCTTCTTCAAAATATCTTCTTTTGTGTTCAACAGAACAAAAAATAAAACAGGTTGGGCACAAGTGGATGGTGCATAAATGATAACAGAATTTACCTTTTTTGGGAGAACTATGCCTTTGAGGTGTTTGTTAACCCAAAAGAAAAAAATTAGTTATTTATTCACCCTCATGGCGTTTAAGATTTTTTTGTTTGTCCCGACATTGTAAGTCTAATTACCCAAAACAGAAAACCACTTTTTAGTCCTGAAATCAGTTTTCATTTGAGATTTATTGTGCATTTTATGACTCCTTAAGCAGATCCCACTCTTTCTTTGCATTCATTCTTTGTTTTTTGTATTCATATTTAGAAGGATCTATCAGTTGACATCACTGTATTCCAGTTGACAGACTTTGAAAGCCCCTGCTTTATATGATGAGCAGATTTAGTTTTTGGATTTCTTATAAATATTGATCATCAAATGAACAGAAGCTCAATCACAGTTGACAGACACTTGAGAATGAACTTCAAAGGTTCTTGTGGAAGCTCAAACATTCTGGTGACATGCAAGAATGAACCTTAAGGGTTCTTGTGGATCAAGCAAGCATACCTGAGCTTCGGGGATCCAGTTTTTGAGGCTTGACTAAAATGAAAATAAAATATGATCGTCACATAAACCTTAACTCTTAAGAAGATTAATAAAATCATATAGATATAATTAGATTATAGATATAATTTTCTGATTTATATAAGTTTAGAATCTTAAGCATTTGGGATGAAATGGCTGTGAAAAAAATTTAATACATTCCGAAGATGAACTAATACTTATTATGGGTAAATTTTGAGAATTTTTATGTAGTGTCAAATGACCTTTTAATATTTAAACTAAAGAAATAGTTCACCCAAAAGTGATTTCTTTTATAAATTAAGTACCCTACACTTGTTCCAAACCAGTTTAAGTTAATTTTTTTTCTGTTTAACACAAAATATATTTTAAAGAATGTTGGAAACATATTACCATTAACCTCCATATTAGGGTAGATTGAATATACTATAGAAGCCAATGGTTGTAGGTTCCAAGCTTTCTTCAAAATATCATTGTTTGTGTTTCACAAAATGATACCACAATCTTAATTTTTGCATGAAATATCCCTTTACCTTGGCTCCCCAAGTGATCATAAATCAAAACCAATAAGATCGTATTATAAAATATAGTTTTATTCCCATTATCCTAATAAAGTGCCGAATAAAAGGCTATTTGATTGTTCATGAGAACATTTGCCATTCATTTCTCTTCTCTTTCAGAGCTCTCTAAGGAAGCTAAAGCAGACCTGCAGAAGTTTGAGGAGAATGAGCGTCAGAGAAAGCAGGGTCGTTTTGGAGGACGAGGGAGAGGAGGACCGTATGGAGATGGAGGAAGAGGAGGAATGCAAGGTAGAGGTGGAATGAGAGGAAGAGGAGGAGCTGGAGGTCGAGGACTCGGAGGAAGAAATGATTTCCACATGTTTGGAATGGGAGGTTTTCGCGGCGATGGAGTTGGAGGTCGAGGGAGAATAAACGAGCAAAGGCCTCCACTGATGCAAATGAACTTAGGAATGCAGGTAAAAGACTAATGACTTTAACACAAATGCTCAACTATGTGATTTGACAGCTGTATTTAGTATAGAATTAAACCATTAATGACTAATTATTAGCGGTTATATTTAGTGCATAAGAATGTATGATTTCTAGACAGTGGATGAAGAAGCTTAACCTTCCTATTATCCAAGGGGTCAATTTGACCCACTTTAATTTTTAACGTCTGTAAATACATAATTAATGCAAAGGTTTATTTAAGTTGTCAACAGAAGGCATCAATTACTTTACACAAACCTATAAAAATAAAATGTGGAGGTTTAAGTGTTGAATTCAAATTGACCAGTTTAATAGGAAACATTTACAGTTTGGCTGCAAAACCAAATCAGTTAATCTAATTGCAATCCATTGAGAAAGTAACAGTGATTTAAATAACTGATTGAGTGTGTCTTGTCACTTTACATTAGTGAATAACACATTTCTATGACAGGAACATATAACATCTTGGGTGGAATTGTGGGGAAAGTTCATGACCCAAGTTGTGTTAAACTTGAGAATCCTTTAAGCTCTTCAAATAAGTTCTTCATAAGAATGTAACGCAGTTTGACCTGACACGGGCATGGCATACATGTGCTGTGTACTGTTTGAAGTGTTTCAGACATGTTTTCTTCAGCATAACTAGTTGAGTCTTAATCTGTAAATGTTAGAAAGTCACAAGGCAATTTTTATTTTGCCTAAAGGCCCACCTGTTCAGAGACTTCACTGAACGAGTATCAACATGCAGTAAATGAAGCAATGTAATTGTGATGATTTATAAAATAATAATAATAATAATAATAATAATATATATATATATATATATATATATATATATATATATATATATATATATCTGGCTAGACATTACATTTTTATTAGAGCAGTAACAATAAATGCTCTTAATAGTTAATAGGTGTATTATAATTAATGTTGTGTTCAGTTTAGTGTGTTGCTTGTAATTTAATATTTTGTCGGTGCAATTGTTTTTAATGTATATTTTAAATTGGAAAGCAAGCTGTTGTTTTTGTCTTAGACTTTAATATTTATATTTTCAAAGAAATAATCAGTATTAATCACTTATCAAGAATACTTGTTAGTTGCAGCCCCACATCACACTTTATAATTTAGGAAACACTTTAATTGAGCAGTATGAGTACCAGAATCCTAAGATTACTTCAGTAAAACCCACAGAAACCTTAATAAATTAATAAATTACCTTAATGCATGTACACTGTTTAGTGAAATTGGACTAACTGTTATTTTCTGAAACGCTGACCATTTGTATACTATTTAGGTACTGATTGTCTGGTTATTGTTGGCATCTACTGTTTTGGGCTGAGCAGTGAACAATACCCTGCTTCTCAATCTGGAATACTGATAAGCAATTGTTCTACTTGCTTCTATTCCAAACCTTTGCCTCAGCATAAGTGAATAGCATATATGCTGATTATTATCCATTGTGATTCTGTGTCAAGGGGTTTTCTAGGCTTCTCCTGCCCTTAATTGACTATTAAGAGAGCGGAGGTAGAATTGTCCGCATGTAAACGTATAATCCTGACAAGCCCCGAAGGAACAAATACACATTTACAAGGTAAAATTTTGAGTCAGCCAGTAAGACTGTGCTTTTATACTCTGCTGTTGTCATGACAATCACTGTGTGCACATAAATTAGCAATCAGCATTCATTGCAGTTGTTTCCTGCAGTTGTGATTCCTGTGGAAATGCATTTAAAACTAATCTTTTAGAAAAACCTATGAGTGCATTTATTGCGTGGGTTTTTATTTTTTTCAGTGAAAAGACAGGTGTCATTGAACTGACAGCCTTGTTTTGAGATTGCCAATTTTACAGGTATTTCTAGACAAGTGTGAATGTTGAGCCTCACTTTTCATGGAGCTTTGCACATGACATAGAAGCCTCTGAAATATAAATGTTGTATTTACACTAATGCTGGTGTTTAAATATGCCATATAGTGCATTGATTCAATAAGTTAAATTGTTCTCTCTTATCTACACAGTAAGACTGAGGCTTTAGTAAATTAAAAAATTCAGCAGATATGGTTTTATATAACATTTTATTACCCCAAAATGTATCCACTAGGACCAGAAGGTCCGTATTGACCATGTTTGGGACAGTCATGAATATTAATGAGGTCTTCTTTAAAATTCCTGCAGCTCATTGCTTGCTCTTTCACTCAAACACAAGCACAAAATCGAAATATAAATGAATAATAAAACTAAATATAAATGAAACAAAAACAAACGTGCAAAACAAAATCATACTTAATTTGTCAAAATATATTTTAAGAAATTGAGTAGATGCCTTGTTAAATCCACCAGTGTGGTGAAGAGGTTTATTTTAGCTATCTTTAATCACCCAGAAAAAATCATTTTTCTCCTTAGTTGCATTGTTGATGAAATCATTGCTAAATTAGAATTATACTTGAAAATAGTGACAGAGAGAGATGTATTAATAGTTGTATTTTGAATGTTTTAACATGTATAAAAAACGGGCAATAATTATTATCAATCTTTGCATAAACAGGTGGCATTTAATAAATTGTTTTGTTATTTCACTCCAAAATACATGTTTTTGTTGCCTCATTACAAACATAGATATTTTTACAAAATACATGCTAAATTAACAAAAGATACAATTAAACAGACCTTATACCTATTTGGGGTGGAGCTGAATGAATTTATAATCCATATTGCCTGGATTTTGCATTATGAAAAGCTTTAAACAGAAAAAAACTCAGTGCATTCGGCATCTGTCCTCATTGCTTCACAGCGCATAGAAAAGACACGGTGTAAAGGCATGGTGTGGCTGGCTTTAGCCTATAGTCTTTGGCATTATTTGTCTTCCTGTGTCTCCCTATTTCAAAATAATAGCTGATCTTCTGATGATTCAGCAGGTCTAGTTGATGTATAATGTCACATAGTACATGCAAATGTTAAGGGCATGCTAATTAATAATTAATCCCATGTGCAATGTAACAGTCTGTATTTTGATTGGATAGGCCTGTTTTTCACCAGGCTTTAGGTCTTATGTCTTGCGTCTGTGCAAGAGGATGTGTCTTTTTGCACCATGGGGGGCAGTATCTGTTTTTTGTTCAGAACGGCAAAACCGGAACTTCCAGTGTGCACGTGCAAAGTGTAAACAAAGCAATATTTAGTACCAATATTATAGCAGCTTTCACTCAACTCTGAGTGTTTGTTCCTGCAAAAATGTCTGATAATCTAATAATCCATATCGATTAACAAATATTTAAGAAATGTAGCAAAATTACAGCTGGTTTCTTCATGCCTTAATCGGGCTGACGAGTTCTGACGTTAACCCGACAAGAGGTTATGCGTGGAAACAAACCAAAGCAACTAGTCAGACTGACTGTGACGAATGTACCAATGAAGCCCAATGACCAAGTGTTGATTTGCTGTATACCGCCCCTTATACTCAAAGGATTTACATGAAAAAGAGGAAACCATTGAGTTTGGCTCACAGAATGCCAATTTCCATATACTGAGCACTGATTTTTATTAAATGGCACCGTTTATTAAAGTGTAATAAATGCTCAAATATAAAAGTTATTTAAAATGTCATAGCATTTGTTTAATTTTTTGTATTTTTGATTATAAATATACCTTAATGAGTATAAGTGACCGCTTCAAGAAACAAAGAAAAACAACTTACTGACCACAATCTTTTGAAAGGCACTGTAATTTCAGGCAAGCTTGGCATTTGATTTTATTTTAGGTGGTTGAAGATCAGTTTTAGATGTTGCGTTGACTTTTTTTCTTGTCTCACCCTTGCAGAGTCAGTTTGCTTTCGAGTAAAAGACAATTATCACCGTTCTCACTCCCTGTCTTATCCATGTTGATATATGGATTATGGCAAATAACTTGGCGGGAGTCCATTGAGGAAGCATTACACCAAATTAAATTTGTACTTTGCTGAAGGATTTAGCTTCCTGCGCTTATTTTATTATTAAATATCTGTTGAGGGTGTAATCCCTTTGCGCTTGAGCTGTTCGTTCGAACGTTCGCACCTTTTTTTTTTTTTTTTTTTAAAGCTGATTTTCTTTTATAGAAAAGCCTGACTTTCCGGGCTTTTGGCACAACTTGTCATTCCTCGACATTGATGTGTTCTTTTACATTGCAGTGCTGACAGCAGTATATAGTGCACTCACTGCCATAATGATTTAATTGAATTCCCCTCCGCTCCTGTCTATGAGTTGTCATATCAAGCACATGTCTTCATCTGATCGTAAGTTAATAAATATATTGTGTGTAGAGAAAGACTGTAGTGAGTGTATCTGAGTACACTCACTGCTTCACTTAATTCAAATGAGGTGATGTCCTTTTAGGTTAAATCAACAGGGACACAGAGGCACAACGTATGTTTTTTGAGAGACTGCTTGAACATTTTGTATTCGTCTTAAACTCCTCATTTAATTCAGATTCAGTCCCAGTCACTTGGCTCTTATGATTGATTACTTGATTAAAGGGGTCGTCTGGAGACCCAAGGTCACAACACTACAAGATAATGATTTTTTTGGGGTGAAAGAGAGAAGGCTTACGTTATTGATTGATGATCCTTGGCTTCTCTCTCTCGTTTTTAAAGCAGCAGCTCAGAATGACTCCTCCGCTTCAGCATCACCATCATCAATCTCGTCTGCCCGGCCCGAGAAGCTCTGGAGGTCCTGGGCTGTTTCCAGATCCAGGCACTCCGATTGCTCAGCAGCCACTGCAGATGTTGATGCCACATATGAGTCACCGTTCACCAGGCCCCAGAACACAACAGTTGAACTCCCCACCACGACACTCGCATGCACATCCCAACCAACACCAGCAGCACCAACAGCACCATCCCAAAAACATTCACATCAACCCTCACTTCAGAGGACCATCATCCTCACCTGTGCAAGGTATGGCCCCAGATTCAAATCTATATTCTTTGATGCATGTTTGGCTTCATAAAGTACTTTTTCTTTGTTCATTTTTTTAGGCTAAGCACTTTCGGCTGATGCTTACACACATTTTCACAGAGCAAGGTCCTTCTAAGTGTTTTTTTCCCTCTGGTGTGGCCTTCACTCTGTAGGCAGCCCATCAGCATTAAACCAGCTTTCTGAAATGCACACATCTGCGAAGGTGGAATGATTCACGGCGAAATTACTCCTTTTGACTGTCAGTTTATCTCATTAGGTGGCCCAGTCTGCTCGAGAGAGAGATGCAGAGTTTAATCAGCAGAACAGCCCTCTCTCTGTGACCAGCTGTGACAAACCATGGTTTAGACACGTGGCAAGAAGAGACTTTTATGGTGTCTGTGTTACGCCAACCCACTCTCTCGTTCTGCATCCCTTTTTCTGTCTGTCTGACTCCTGCTTTTTCTATTTCCATTTAATCTCAGTTCCCTCAATGCCTCCTGTGCAGAACCAACCAAGGCCTAACATCGCTTCACCGAGACTCTCGGTAAGTAACCTCACGTTGCTTTAAGTTAGAATTAAGTGATTTCAATCTGCATAAATCTGCTGTGTGTTACGGTCGAAACTGCCTGAGTCATAGACACTGAAAGCAACATGTGCGGTGTGGAAGGAACGACTCTCTAAAAGTGTCCTGGTATATGAGGAGGATCTGCCAGTTGAAATTGAAATTGAGACCGTGAAAACATAGAACAGATATAAAAGCCCTTTAAGGATGTAGGAACCGTCATGCAGCTGCCTGCACTGTGGATAAAGTGATTACTGCCAAGGAGGAGACCATCAGAAACCCCCATAAAATAAACTGTTTCCCCAATTCTCTTCTTTTTCCGCTCTTTTACAAATACTTTGGTTTTCTGTTCATTGTTGCTGTCCACTTTAGCTGTAGTTGCATGTTGCAGTAACATGATACCACTATGCAGTGCTACTGTATGTGCAATATTTTCTTTTAAAGTTAGAAAGTGATTTTCTAATTGTATGTATTTTTTTTCATTTTAAATTTATGTTATAATTGATAAATCTCTTTTATACAATTTAATAAACAATTTATAAGTATTATACACTATTAGAAAATACTTTTTGTAACTCCATATCAATTAATACCTTATGACTTTTTAAAATCACTCTCATGGCATCAAGTGTATTCACTTTCTCTTTATTTCATAAAAAGTTTAGAATGTCCATGCCATCCACATTTTTGTCCATGCTGTTTGTGCTGTGTGGCCACTAGTTTGGAGACATCGTGGACTCTAAAAACGGTTTTCGTTTCTGATCTTGCTGAATGAGAGAGAAGTTTCACAATGACATTTTTCCAGCTGTCTGTCTCCCACAGCCAGTTTGGTACAGACAGGACACCATTAAAAATGCCAATGGCATTTTGCAGGGATCGGCGTCCATTAGCCCTCTGGGCTCTTGATTATCATACATTAGCATATGATCACATCTCATCTTACAATAGGCTGATCCGCAATTTCTCTATGAATATTTACTACTTTCGAGTTTTTGAATATTAATCTCCATGCTACATATTTATATTGTATTTTATGTTTAATACTGGTCATAGCAGAAATAATTTTGAAAGGTAAAAGTGTAAATTTCTCCTTTGTTAGTAATGTTGATTGAATCATAATTATTTTTTCTTGTTTAAAGTCACAGTTCACTTAAAGATTTTAATTTACTTACCATTTATTCAATACCAAGTTCTTACAAGCCTTTATAAGGTTATTTTTTCTAAGGATTTTTTGGAGAATGTTAGAAACCAGTTGCCAGTATAACTTCTTTTATGTTCAACAGAATTAAAAAAAAAATCTTTGTAACCAAATGTTTGGAAATGTTTGGAAAAGGTAAAGGTTGAATAAATAATTAGAATAAAAACATTTGGGTGAACTCTCCCTTTAAAAGCTTAGTAGTCTCCAGAATTTTGTAAAGTAGTGCAGTACATTTTTCTTAATGTTGAACTTTCATGATTTTTTTTTATACCAGAACGGCAGAAAGGAACAAGTTGCAGAGTGTATTTTAAGACACCCGAGGCTTGTCTTCTAAATGGCATCAGCCCATGCTTGGCATTTGTCTTTCCTACTCCCTTTCTATCTCCCAGTCAGATCATAACTGGTTACATATTGAGCAGATCCATGGGTATTTACGAAAGATTAGCCCCCCAAAAGGACATGCTCCTTTTATCAAACGAATGCAAACTTGCAAAGGTATTGTGAATGTACTTAAGCTCCCATTGTGTTACAGGAACTGACCTTTTGAATAGAGCAATGAAGTCTACAATAACAATGTGATTCTCCCTCGCTCCCTCCTGTCCATTGCTTAGCTAAGCTGCCTGATTGACTTTCTGTTAAGCAACTTGGCTGGCCTTGGTGACACTCACTGGCTGACTAAAGATCAGGGCTGAAAACGTGGATTAAAAGTTGGATTGCATCTTAAGTCATTTATAATGAGTAAAGAGGTGCTAAGCATCACAATTTGCTGGAGTGTGGCTCCTTTGAAGGAAGGCTAATTTCTTAAGAGCAAAGGATATTTTCAAAGAATAAAGGAGAGGGGATTCGCATTCAACTGCAGGATTAGTAAGGATCGTTATCTTTTTTTCCTCTGGAAAGGTAGAGAGGGGATTTTGAGTTTTATGAGCAATGGGTTAGGTAAGCACTGCGAACGGATAGATTTATATTCAAGGGTGTATGCAAATCATTTTCTTTCTGCTGAAAAGGTTTCTCAATGGCATAAGCGGATGTTTATGATCTTAATATGAAGTGTTACATTTAATAACACATTTAATAACGAAGATAAGAAGTGTAAAGCTTTTTGGCTTTAAAAGTCATCCATCAACAATAATATTTCTGTTTGGTGAAGAGTGTTTTCTGTGGAGTCTGTGAATTTTTATTTTATTTGTGCTGTTATTCATCCTCTAGGCTCCTCCTGATTTTCAGCAGCATCTGGGGAATTTTGGCCCACCTCTGCGGCCTCTGCCTTCCCAGGAGCCATGGAGAGGACCACCACCACCACATCATCAGGATCAAGACCACTTCTTCCCTGGTGGTAAGGTCAAATCATTTTAGAAAGCTGTAGGATGCCAACCTAAATGTGACATCACACTGGAGCCCTGCATTGTCTTCAATACCAATTCCTCCATCCATTGGATGGTGTAAGTTTAAGAAATTAAATTTTTTTTATTTTTTTTTCAGAACCGCGATTTTCAGGCCAGCACATGTTTGACCAGCCAGGCCCTGCCCCCCTTTTGAATAACAGTGTTCTTCCGATGTCGGGGCAAGGCCCTCCGAATTTCCCTCCACAGGGAGGACTTGGAGGTCCTGGATTTGGTCCTTTGGGGCTCGGACAGAACCAAGGGCCTCAGAGTCTAGCCCTGCAGCATGCAGGTCCTCCAGGGCCCCCTGGTCCCCGTGGATTTGTGGGTCACAGACAGCCATTCTCACCCCCGCAACAGGGACCCCCCTTTAGCCCCCAGCACATGCCATTTGGTATGCAGGTACGCCAGAGAGTAAGTTGAAATACCAAAAATTAGCATGGCCTTGCTGACATGGAGAACATTGCATGTTAATCTAGCATGAAATAAAATGTGTCATTATATATGCGTTGTATATTTCTGTATTTTATGAGGTCATAAACTCGCTGTCTTAATTTAGCTCATGAAGTATGTCAGTGTTACATTAAGGTTTGGGTTGTGCATGTGTCTTTACTGACAGTCACGATCAATTTAATGCATCCTTGCTTAATAAAAGATAGCTTTCTATATAAAAAAAAACCTACTGACCCCAAACCTTTGAATGGTAGGGTAGATGGCACAGAAAGTGTAAACAGACAAGCAAGCAGAAGTGGTGTAAGCTGTGTAAGGATAACCTGCCCTTTTACATGCAAGCAGCAGACAAGACTGCCCTCTTGTGTTAGCAGTATTTGTCAGTTCATGGTTATTTGAGGTCACTGGGTTAGTTGTTACACATCAAACACCTGTCGCTCTTTTAAAGATGTCATTCCTCCTAAAACTGTTTATTTTCTTTGGTTTTACTAATAAATTGAATAAATTGTGATTTTAGAAACAAATGAAATTGAAAAAGAACAGCAAATTAACTGTTTAGGTAAAGTACTGTAAAATTGTGCCGACTTCAGTTCTACTCCTGTTGACTAGATTGTGCTTTAGTGTAAATGTCCTTTTAAAAGAAAGCTTTATGACATTTGATCCAACTCATTTGTACACTTAAGATGTAAATTTGATTATTTTATCCTCATTTGAGTTTGTTTAATTAGTTTAATTTAATTTGTTTGTTTTATTTAAAGGGTCTACTGCAGCAGCCCCTACACCATGATCCGCAACTTACCCATCAGTCCTTGCACCAGCAGCACCAGCAACACAGACAGGACTTACCCCCCCAGGCCTTGCTTCACTCCCAGCCTCCACCCCAACATCAAACTCACCACCAACACCACCCACGGGACCAACACCTCTCCCAGCCCCATTTCCGCCAATCGATTTCCAGTGGCCATAGACAGATGCAGTCCCGGCCACAGGGCAACCAGCAGCGTAACAACCATGCCAGACCCAGAATGGTAAGCACTTCGTGTTTTTGATGCTGCTTATTAAGTTATATTTCATTCATGCAAAGCAGTTCACTACACTAGAGCAAAACTGCTGTCAGTGAATTCATTTTCACTCCTGAACATCAACTCGTGTTTCTGAACTTCTCCTGCTTTTCTTCAGACGCCGCCTTCTCCACTGCAGCAGATTCCTCCTCAGCGCAACAGCAACCTTCGGGAGCTGCCCATTGCTACTAGTAACAATAATACCTGCCCATCAGTGCCTAGTGGGCAAGCAAAACCAGTTACCAAGGCAACACAAAATGTTAGGCAAGGGCCCGTTGCTCGTTCTGGACCAGCAGGAAAGGTTGGACCTTTAGCACAAGGGCAAGGCTCCGCCAGAGCACCGCTGCAGCCCAGAGTGCCCGAGATAAAGAAAGCGCAACCAGCTGCACAGTCAAGCACCACTCCACAGGTAATACTGGGAGCTGCTTGATGTTTTTGAAGTGCTTTACAAAATAGCAGTTGTTTACATAGACGTAAATTAGACATGTTCAAGTTTATGCAAAAATTTGTTTTATTTTCTTAAATTTGATTGGCCGAAAGCAGCATTCTATGAGTATCAGCAATGATCCAGTCTCTTCCTCTGTGGGCATCTCTCCAACCACAGCAAGTCTCATGCAGACTCACTATAGTTTAGGCAAGAACGTAGTAGTTTAGCTTTCAAATAATTTCAAGTCAAGTCAACATTTATTTATAAAGCATTTTAAGAAACAAGAGCACCAAATTGTTGTACACGCTGAAACCATTTAAACACAAAACTGTGGATTTTTAAACATTTATTTATTCTGTTCTGCTTTTTAATTTTCAGCTTTGAGCACGATCCTCTGTTTTGTCATGTCTAAGGCATCATGATACTCACCAATATGCAGAATTAAGGAATTTAAATACATGTTCTGAAGTGAAGTTTTTATATTGGCGATGGCTTTTGCCCAGCTGTTACAGTGAACTTCAGATGTAAATTTGTAGTGGAAGAAATTAGTTCCTCACAAAGACACTGTTACTTATGATATAGCTCATTTGCACAAAAATATATATATGTTTTATTCAGTGATTTAACTCTCTCTATATACATTCAGTTGAAGTCAGAATTATTAGTCCCCCTGAATTATTAGCCCCCTTGTTTATTTTTTGCCCAATTTCTAACACATTTCTAAACATAATAGTTTTAATAACTCATTTCTAATAATTGAATTATTTTATCATTGTCATGATGACAGTAAATTCAGTAAATATATTGCTAGATATTTTTCAATACACTTCTATACAACTTAGTGACAATTAAAGGCTTAACTCTGTTAATTAGGTTAACTAGGCAGGTTAGGGTAATTAGGCAAGTTATATATGTCAATGGTTTGTTCTGTAGGCTATCGAGAAAAAAATATATAGTTAAATGGGGCTAATAATTTGGACCTTAAATTGAATTAAAAAAAAACTGCTTTTATTCTAGCCAAAATGAAACGGAAGAAAAAATATTATCAGACATACTATGAAAATGTCCATTCTCTGCTAAGCATCATTTAGGAAATATTTACAAAAGAAAAAAAATGAAAAAAGGGGCTAATAATTCTGACTTCAACTGTATATGTCCACCAAATATTATTTCTTAACTATTGCATAGTTGGGTTGTCAGGTCAATTTACAATGCACCCACAGACAGATGATCATCAAAGTATGTCACTTTCACAATCGCTTCATGTGAAACCCCTTTCATTTTACAAAAGTGCAGTGTTTTTTTTTAAATAAATTTAGTGTATAAGAGCAAGTTATTGTACAGGTCACATCCATTTGTCATGCACTGAACATATGGCACACAATTTTTAGTTTAACAATAGGTTGAGTGAGCATGTAAAGTTGCTGTTTTGTGGTCAATGATTGGCTTTTTCATGTCATGCCCCATGTACTATTACCAGCAATTAGCAATCTGTCAACCATGGCCAACTTGATTTACTTTGCTATATCCAGTGTAAAAAAAAAATCTGTGTCTGAAACATTTGGGTTGACCAAGCATCTTCTCTTTTACAAGTTTAGTCGACTATTGGGGCAAGCCTTGGTAACACTGGTCCAAAAAACAAACAAACCAAATATTACAGTTGTATATCTATGTACAATTGAAGTCAGATTTATTAACCCCCTTGAATTATTACCCCCCCCTGTTTATTTTTTTCCCCAAATTTCTGTTTAACAGAGACAAGATTATTTTCAACACATTTCTGAACGTAATAGTTTTATTAACTCATTTCTAATGACTGATTTATTTTATCTTTGCCATGATGATGGTAAATAATATTTAACTAGATATTTTTAGGGCACTTCTATACAGCTTAAAGTGACATTTAAAGTCTTAACTAGGTTAATTAGGTTAACTAGGCAGGTTAGAGTAATTAGGTAAGTTATTGTATAACGATGGTTTGTTCTGTAGTCTATGGAAAAAATATATAGTTTAAAGGATATTATGATTTTGACTTTAAATGTTTGTAAAAAAAAAAATAAATAAATAAAAACTACTTTTGTTCTAGCCAAAATAGAACAAATAAGACTTTCTCCAAAAGAAAAAATATTATCAGTCATACTGTGAAAATTTCATTGCTCAGTTAAACATCATCTGGGAAAATTTAAAAAGAAAAAAAAAAATCAAAAAGGGGCTAATAATTCTGACTTAAACTGGATATGTAGATAATGCAATTGCAGCTAGACTTTGTCTAGAATGTGTAAGTAACCACAAGCAACCTTGGTCTCGTGCATATGCTCACTAGACTGAAATGTTTTTGCATAAAGCCAAAAGAAGTCTTTTTTTATTCATCCAGAATTTAAATTCGTCCTTGTTTAGAACCCAGATGAAGATGAGGAGACACGGCAATACAGACTAAAGATCGAAGAACAGAAACGTTTGCGAGAAGAGGTCCTTCGACGCAAAGAGCTGCGCAGGCAGCAGCAAGCTGGTGAGCGCAAAAAGGAACTGTTGGAACGAATTGGCGGCCAACTTCCAAACCAGACTCAACCAACACAGAACACCACACAGCCCCCTACAGCTCAACCCCCTCAGCCGGTCCCTTCCCTGATCTCTAACGGAACCCCACAGAACCCTTCGCCCATCGTCAATTCCCCTCGTCCCAATGTTAAGACACGTCTGTTGAACACTAAACCTCAGGCACCTGCTTCAGGGTGGTCTGGGCCACAGAAGCCACAGAGTACTGGTCCTAATGCCAACCTGCAGGGCCAATATCAACCATTGCAGAAGAGGACCATCGCCCCACAAAACACTCAACGACCGGCTGCACAGGGTGTTGGTGCTCAAACCAAGCCAGTAGAAGGGCATGGCCTGGGTCAGCCTCAGCCCGGTGGAAAAAGAACAGTGATGCAAAGAACCAACAGTGTTGAATCACCACAAGTTCCACAGAAAGTGCGTGTAGTTAAGCTTCAGGGAGAGGTGAGTGAATTTGTAACCTATTTAAACTCTAGATGTGATCTTTAAAGTTCATGTGCCACAGAATATTTTGACTCTTTTTGTCTTTGCCGGTTTTCTTGAAGTAGTTGTCACCTTGATAGAATTAATAAAAGAGTCTACCTCAAAGACAAGAGGATTTCCAATTACTGTAAAAGTCATGACGTCTACTTTTTCGACCAGTAAAGTTTTTAGAGCTCAAAACTGTTTAAGGTATGTAGCAAATTTCTCTTTTTGAAAGAATCGATAGCGATGGTAGTCTTCATACTGGGATTTAATTGACAGAACACTTTTACCTTTTGTGGCCAGAAATGGCACCATCCTGCTGTCATTAAAGTGAGATGCTTGGCATTTGCGTCTTTACTCTGAGTGATAGCAGATCCAGACATTGTAAAGGTTTGTATCTTCTTCAAGTCGAGCAGCAATTTTACGAGTCAAGTTAAGCAAGACCAAATGGAGGTTTCTATCGGTTTCATCAATCATTTTACATTTAAGTCTAGAGTTTGAGGTTGTTCTGACAGGGCATTTTATGCATCTCAACCAAGGAAAGGAGGACCCAAGGATGATTTATGGCCTCTAAGAGATGATTTGTTCGTTGAATGAGGAGAAAACATCCTTTTCCAGTCTTCTGCCTGAAGCGAAGCTAAATATCTCCTTTGACTGCCAGATCTCTGTGAATGAAGATAACTGTGTGTCAACTTAGTTAATAGAAAGCTACACGCAGCTATCTGAAGTGCCGTGGCTCTGACTGACAAAGAGGAAGAAGGGGGAGGGTCTGTCAGACCGAAAGAAGCTGATCCTCTAGGTGCTTCTCTTCTCCTGCTGTCAACCTCAGCCGCCTGACAATGTTATCTCTCTTTCTTGTTCTCCCTTCTAACTTGTGCTCGCTCCATGTTACTCTCTTCATCTATCTCGTCTCGCCTCTCGCTTTATCCATCCATCAGCTCATCATTGAAGTGTGTTAGAATAGGTGTCAGTCGGGGGACATCTGCAATTAATCTTTCTCGTCTATGTTGATATGGGTGTAATAATACCTGCGAGAGTCCGGGAGAAAGAGAGATGCCGGTTTGGGCGGATTTGTATTTCTTCCAGCTTAGCCGCACTGATAAGAGCAAATTAAATTTTCATCAGCAAGAATACAAAAGCCTGCACCGTACAAAAGCAGCATGGGGGATGGAGGTGACGGGCTGGGTGGGGGAGGGGGAGGGACTTGTCAAATGTCGTCACCCCGCCCCGGTGTATTGCTGCGGAGCATCTGATAGATGTAATCTGAAGGTGTGGATTTTGTATTGAGTTGGATTAATCCATTAACCCCCTCAGATGGAGACAGACAGAATAGAGATAATGCACACGGTTTAGAAAAAGACAGATGAGGGGAAAAGGATGAGCTTAGCTGCTTTGGCAATTATGTCTTTGTTGTAGACTGAAGGAATGTTTATAGGGATTGTGTTGAATATATTCAGGTTTGCTGTCGGATGAGGACTATATGCTGATGTTTGATTCTCTCTGTGGTAGACGGTATAAGTTGAATGTTCTTCATGTTTTTCTTTTTATATTTTAACAATGATACGGTTAAAAGAGTACAACCAAAATAACATACAAGGCATTCAAGAAATCATTAAGAAATTTTGATATTTGAATATGATTTTGAGCACTAGCTATAGCAGTTCAGTCAATGTTAACGGTGCATTAGGTTATTTGCCAAAAAGCTAACCGTTAGCATAATAGCTTTGAAAACACAGTCCCTCCCCTGCAGTCCTCCTGAAATCATGAACACGCACCATAAAGACGATAGAAAACAAACCCACTAGTTCATGACATTCGCTAGTTAGAAATCTATATAGTACTTTATAATATTTCAATTCTGAATGAAAAACTGTATTATATCTAGCATGTTTTCAGTTGTATGTGCAATATTTCATGTATGCAAGGATCGCTAGTCTCACTCTCTCACACACTGTCCTAAAGCGACTATACTTAGTGGTTGGCTGGTGGCATGCAGGAATTACACTTATTACTAATCCATACTTACATGCTATTTCAGACTGAATATTCAAATTACTATGTTGAACAATATAGGGAGCATGTCACAGGTTGTCATAGTTCAAAAATGAATCAATGTGAATATAAAACCAACTTCACCAACTTCAACTTCACCTCTGTAAAGCTGGCTAGGTGGAATGGCATTATTGACTTATGTTTTATTGTTAAACTAAAAAAAATCTACATTATCGATGCTGTAAAAGGTCCCTTATGAAACTGAAAATAGTCACATCAATCTTTTGCCTGAAAATTTCAGTGGCTGAACAACACGTCTGTGCATATAACCCATTTATAGCACAATGCAATCTACATCAGCTTTACATAACTACAATAGTTTTATAATAGAACATTACCTGTCTAGCAGAAATACTTCAGCCATAGTGTCATTCTTCATCCAGTGTACAAAACTAACTCCAATATTGATTTAAGATTTTAGTAAGTTTTAGTTAAGCATTTGTTTTCACCACTGTCACTCTTGCATGTGCACGTGTAAACGACAGATCTGTTTGCCTGAAGGGCTGTGCAGATGTACAAATCTACATTTGTTGACAGACAGTTTGGGCTACCTATCAGAATTATGGCAATTATTGCCCTGACACTTTTTATTGGATTAACATTTTTTTGTTTAATGCTTTACCCAGAATAGAAAAATACGTATGAATACATTAAGACAATTTACTTTAATCTGTACTATTGGAATGTGAAGAGAATTTCTACCAACACAACAAAAAATGTTTCTGAAGACAATTTTACGACAGGTTTACCGCAGTTTGGAAAAGTCAAGGTTTTAAAACCACTATTTTCTGTAATAACGTTCCTAAGGTATGTGTAAGATTTTTCTTTTAGTTTTTTAGGACAACAGTATCTTCAGCATAAAAATATCAAAGATGCCGGTTTAAATTGTAATGAAATCATTGCTTTTGAAACAAATAAAGACAAAAGAAGCCAATTATTCATTTGAATTATTTAGCCTGACATGTTTACTGTTCCAAAGTATTAAAAATCTTTCAAAAAATTAAATATATTATTTTCAATTTGGAAAAACGTTTTTAACGACATTTAAAAAGAATGTATTTTAGAGCAGTAACAACAATACTGTGATACCGTGAAACTGTGATATTTTTATTCAAGGTTATCATGCCTACAGAATCTTATACCGGCCCATGCCTATAGACAATCTCCTACTGCACTTTTAATAAATGAACCCTTCTTTTTAGATTATCATCAATGACAGACTGGAGCAGGTTTGTCATATTAAGCCATAATGCATGGATACAATTTAATAATCATAAGATTTGTCGCTGAACTTCTTACATTTACTCAAGACATGACATAAACAAAAATTTGATATATTTTTGTGTATTTGACCAAAAAGAAGTGATTTTTGAATCGTGCTGAGCAATTTTATGTTTATCAGTCAGTGCAAATAATTTACTGAGATTTTCTTTTTCAGGGTCATTGTCATGTTCATGAAACCTAACATAGTATTTAACATTGTCAACAAATTGTAAATGATCACTAATTTTCTGAGATACAGAATTAAGGCGTACTCACACTATGTACAGTTGCCTTGATGTGGGCCGAAGTATGCTTGTCCCCCTCCCGACTCCCCAGACAGCCCACACTAACATTCCATTTTGGGCTTGAGCATGCTTACATCATCGATGATGCGCTCTTCAGTAAGCGCTTTCGCTCAGCGCAGTGGAGATTTCTTTAGTTATATCGTTTAAGTCGTTTGATATGCAGTGACACGCTTTCAAATATTTTGCCAAACAGATCAGCCACTTTTTGTGCTCATAAACAAGTCCTCGTACTGCAGAAATTATGAGGTTTGCTAAAGGTACAGCTGTCATGCAGTGAGGGGTTTGCCTCTTCAATAATCTATGACAGTTAGCGTTCACTGAACAGTAAGAATGATTAATAAACGCATATAAAACAGTCAAGTCAGTAAAAGTCAAGTCTCGTCTTCAGTTACCGGCTCAGGCGTGCTTTGCACTCACATTACAAGCGTACCGCACCGAAGCTCAAGTGAACAGCGCTCTGGCACACCTCTTCCAACCAGGCCAGGGCCGGCCAAGTGAACGGCGCCTCAGCGCGGTTTAGAGCACTCACACTTCTCAAACGATATGGGGAACGGGCCTTGGTAGGTATGTAGTTCTCACCAATGACAAATTTGAGAAGGGCAAAATCATTCATTAAATATTAAAAAACTCTTGAGATGATGTGTTATCTGTGGTCACAAGAAAGTATTGAGGTGATTGGAAGTTTTGGGGGGGGGTACTCACACTAGCTGCAGTTGGCTTGAACCGTGCCGAAGCACGATTGTCCCTCTCCCCCGACAGCCTGCACTCACACTAGATCTTTACCTTCCGAATCTGAGCATGCTTGCGTCATAGTTGATGCAACTGTTCAGTTTAACAGTAAGAGAATTGCTCTTGCTCAGCACAGTGGAGATTGCTTTAGTTATATTGTTTTGTACTATTTTTAGTCATTTGGGATGCAGTGACACTCTGTCAAATATTTTGCTGAATATATCCACCACCTTTGGCGTACATGTTCACAAAGTCCTCGTGCTGGACATATTAGAAGGTTTGATGAAGGTGGAGCTGATGTGTGGCAAGGGGTTAGTGTCTTTAATAAACTATGACAGTTCGTGTTCATTGAAAAGTAAGAATGATTAATAAATCCATATGAATTATCAATTTTAGTCTCCTAAAAGTCAAGTCTTGTCTTCAGTTTCGGGCTCAGGCATGCTTTGCACTCACACTACAAGCGTACCGCACCGCAGCCCAACTGCACTCTGGCACACCTCTTCCAACTTGGTCAGGGCCAGCCAACTGAACCGCACTGTGCCTGATTTGAAGCACTCACACTTGTCAAACTAACGGGCAAACATGCCTGGGCATGGTTCAAATAGCATAGTGTGAGTGCACCATTAAACGATGATGAGAGCGTTTAAATTTTCAAGGCCTTCAACATCTGAAGACTGCCAGCCGCTGTCAGATAACACAAACACTTTGAAAGCTGAGGAAACAGTTCTCTTTGTCCCCAGTCCATGACATTTATACTCAGAGGTGCGGTCACCAGTTTTCTGGAAGATGTTTAATAAATTCAGCTATATTTTATCCTGTAATTAGCATCCTGAAACCAGATCACATCACCTCTTGGAGTAGTGTTGTCTGTTGTTCTGCATTTCTGTTGGGCTGCAGAATTTATTGAAAAAATATTGTTATGGTGATAATAGTAAATGCAATATTTATTTCACAGAGAGTTTGTTTTGCACAATTTGACCAATTAAATGGTCCTTAACTTTTTATTCACTTTTGTTCATTTTTGCGCCTATCTTTTTACCTAGCTCCCTAGTAGGTGCTGCTGTGCTATTGGCTAGACCAAGCCCAAAGGTGGACCTAGAGCCTCAGAATAAATAAATACTAATGGCAGGAGTAGAGACAAATGGAAAATGACAACAGCAAATAAGAAACAGAACATCTGCAGATGTTTTCATTCATTCATAGTGTTTTAAAGTCTGATTGTTTTCAGCGTGAATTATTTAAATTGTATCAGACAATTGGTCCCACTTTATATTAAGTGGCCTTTATTACTATGTACTTATTGTGTTCATATAGTATTGCAAAGCACCAGAACTGTTCTTGAGGTAGGATATGGGTGAGGTTAGGGATAGGTCTGAAGTATGGGTAGGTTTTTTTAAGGTAAGGTGTGGGTATATAACAGTATATTTCTAAATGTAAAAACAGAAATTTATTACAGATTTAATTTTAAGCATATTGTTTTTAAAATATTAGTACAATGTAAAAACATGTATGTACTTTAATGTGTTGCACTAAATGACTAATTTAAATAGCAGTACATTGTAATTAACGCTACTTAATGTAAAATGGGATCAAAAAATGTGTTTTTCCTGTTTATTAAAGTATGCTCATAACATTCTGTACATTAAAAAAATGATAAAAATAGGCACAATTCTTTAGGAAAAAAAGAATGCTCAACTTCAGTATCTCATATTTTGCCAGTTCTGTCCATTTCAGACTGATGGTCTGATGTTTGTTAATCTGGGATTTTCTTTGTGTGGTTTGTAAGATGTGTCTTCTCTGTGTTCAGCAGGCAGATGCCAGTCCCAGCACTGCTCCCTCACAGCAACAGCAACCACCAATTGGTCGGCCTATCCCCCAACAGAGGCTTGGTCCCATCAGGAAAGTTACCATGGCAACTGGTGGTGTACAAAATCAACAACAGGCTGGCCGTGGCGTGACAAACCAAACGAACCGGGTATGACATTGAATCAGGATTACTCTCACAAGCCCTTAATTGGACAGGTGCACAATGCCATTTTGAAGAGATGACACTAAGCTCTGGTACTAATGGTGCTTTCAGGTTATGTCCAAATCAGTATATTTGATGCTTGGCATTTTTATAAGTTTAAATTTAAGCATCGTTACTAAATCTGATTATCATCAGATTATACAATCATAAGTTATAATTGTGAATTTTTGCTAGCCATTTTTTACTGTTTTTCAAAAGGACAACACTTGCCAGAAAGCCATTTAACAGGTTCATGGGGGCTTGGGTCAAATTTCCTTCTTATCTGCAAAGCTTCTGAAAAAACTTTGAGAGCACTGGCATCAGTGCCACTAGGTTTCTACAGATGGAGGCACCTGCACCTGATTTGATAGTACAGTCTCATAAATTTTCTTTTAGTAAATAAATACACTAATACAGTCATATAGTAGCTTGAGTTGGGATGCAAATTACATGTTTCTTTAGCAAAAATAGTACTATCTGTAGAAATTGCAACAGCTTTTCCTTATTTAGTCATAGACTATGATATCCACAATTATGGCACCTCACCAAAACGTCAAATCTAACTTAACGAAAATACTGTTATAAATATTTACACTGCTACCTTAATCCGCAATACCATAAGTTACCATTAGTGTTTCTATAGTAGAACCATGATGAATGTTGGTGATTTGTGGATTTAAACACCTTCTATATTTTTGTATCGAAATGGTAGTCCTATTTTCCTATTCCTACTCTTCCTATGTTATAAAACGTCTTACTCTCTGGTGCTTCCCACACATAGACTTTACTTGGGCGGGCCGCTCGGGTATATTAACGACCGCCCAAGCATATATTGCGGCACATTTTTTTCAACTATTATTATCATCCTTTTACACTTTTTTTGTATCCGCTCAATGTAAACCAACATCTGCATTCTGCAAGCAATTAAGTAGTGGAAAATCTCTCTTTTACCCATTTCATAATGCTCATTCTGTGTGTGTGAGAACTCGTGTGCTCTGCAGACCCACAGAGACCCACACCTTTTTGCGTCCGGCTGAGGTTTCTAAATCTGCTAAAATGTCAGGGATATGATTTTACTTTCGTTTTCTAAGCTGTAGTTAATTTTATGAGCACAGTTGCAATAGCCAGAGAGACATTAAATTATTCTTGAATCTAAACGACTTTACTAAACTTTGCTAAATAAATTACATTTAATTAGAAATTATTAGAAATGGGTAATTTCTTTTCGGCTTTGTCCCTTCATTAATCAGCAGAATGAACCGCCAACTTATCCAGCATATGTTTTACGCTGCGGATGCCCTTTCAGCTGCAACCCATCAGTGGAAAACATCCATACACTCTCATTCATACACATACACTACAGACAATTTAGCTTACCCAATTCACCTGTACCGCTTGTCTCTGGACTTGTGGGGAAAACTAGAGCACCCAGAGGAAATCCACGCCAACGTGGGGAGAACTTGCAAACGCCACACAGAAATGCTAAAGGCTGATTTATACTTCTGCGTCAAACGCCGGCGTATGCTACGGCGCTGACGCATAGCCCTTCGCCGTGGCCGTCGCCGTCACTGACGTGCACCTCTTAAAAAATGTAACTACACGTCGCAACGGCGTGTAGTGTAAGCTCTGTGATTGGTCGGCTTGGTATCGCTGACGAGTCTGGGCGGGACCAAGAGCCGCGCGAATGGCGCGAGCGATTGTTTACAAGTGTGGAGTCCCGTGAAGGAGCTCCGGATGGAAAGTTTTGTTTTGTGTTTACCTCATAGTTAAAGTTGTTGCACGTCCGCCGGTTCCTGCGTCAAAATGAGCGAGTTTGAGCCACTTGTACATCCAGGAAGTGTTCAGGAAAAGCTAAAAAGCACCGAAGAAACTCGACACAGAGGAACAGTTACACCTTACTGCCAACTAGCGTTTCGGAAATGTTAATGCAGACCGACAGAGACAGCGCGCAGAAGTATAAATGCACAGCCACGCGCGTTGCATGTGCCGTGGGTTACGCCGGTCACCTGACGCAGAAGTATAAATCAGGCTTAACTGACCCAGTCGAGGCTTGAACCAGCGACCTTCTAGCTGTTAAGCAACAGTGCTAACCACTGCGCCATCGTGCTGCCCAACTCATTTCTATTATTTAAAGGGCCATGACACCCCCCTCTATTGGTTAAAGTCTACTTCAGAATTTTTTCAAAAGATGCATGATTAATGGGCGTGGAGCTCCGCAAGCATCGGGCAGAAGTGGGCGTGGCCAGCAGGGGAGAAGGGGAGCGAATAACTACTGTTGTCAGTTAGCTCACAAAATGAGACACAAACCGTGAGGAGACGCATGAGTTTATAGTTTACAAAGTTAAAATGCAAAGAAATGAACAGTGATTTAATGCCCTGCTACATTTGTTATTCTTAATTTCATATACAGACAACCACAATTTATATCATTATAAAGATAAGTGTGTTCATGTAAACACTATAAATGAGGACTTCTCCCTCAATCCCTGTATCCAGCAGACTCAGTGCAGCAGGTCTCCTGACCCGTCTATTTTAACCATTAACCCTGCTGGTAATCTGGAGGATTTAGGCAAACACAGCAGCACAGTGATGTGTCTGAATGTGAACGAACTCCTGATAAAAGACAGCGTCCGCTTTTCTCTAATTCTCGTGCTGCTCTCCCAACAAAAATGCTTGCATCACACACACAGCTTTGCTGTATGATCGGCCCTGACAAGATTGCGGGGGAAAACATGCAACAAACCCCGTGGATGATGGAAACAAACGCATATGAGCCTTCATGAACGGCTAAATACTGTGCCGTGGTTTCCGTGTCTCTCAGCTCGGGCTTGACACTGGCAGGTCTGGCAGGTCTCATGAATAATTAAGCAGCCGACTCTTCTCATAGGATAAGAAAACTCCGCTATGAATAATAATGAGAAACCGACGCGTCATCATTGCACTTGCAGTTCTGCGCTACGTCACCGATTTTGATCCCGCCCCAAAAATCATTTTAAACCCGGAAGCTGAAATTAGCTGACAAAATCACAAAATTATCCAGTTTTTCCCACAATTAAAGCTGACAGGTGCTAACATTGTCTTAACTGATGCTCAACACACACACATCTGTTAATATAAAAAAAAAAAGTTTTCCGGGGTGTCCTGAACCTTTAAATAATCTACATTTTTGTAAGTATTATAACTTTTAGAGATTTTTATTCCTTTTTTGTAATTTATGTCTCTTTTGCTGGATATTCTATTATTTGTTGTCGATATATCACTTATTTTATACATCTGAAATGCTTTGGCAGTACTGTACAAAATGTGATGCCAATAAAGCAATCTGAACTTGAATGAGAGAGAGAGGGATTTGAGCAGATTTGACCTGTCAGTGGGTGCACATGGCTCCTAAATAGCGCAAAAGAGAAAGAGTGGAGTTTTTATATTTATTTCAAGTCATTTTTTTTTTACTTTAACCCATTGAAAAGAAAAGGTTAAAAAGAGATAATAAAAAGAGTTAAAAATCTAATTGTTTTTTTTGGTCACTTATAGTTTACTATTTATGTGATGTGGGTAAAAGGTATGTTTCAATCCAGCTACCACCACAAGTATATTTCAAACCTGTGGGAAGCACTGCTCTCTGTAGACTTTTGAGTGGTTGTGTAAACACAAGACATCTTTTACATTTACACGATTTTCATTTTGTTGAATTTGCACTGAAAACCTTCCTGCCATTGTCGGAAAGTGAAAAAAGGCCTGAAATAGCCCATAATATTGACTGAAAATCACTTAAACGCAGATATGGTTATCATATTTATTCATTTATTTTATCTGCACTGTTGTTTATTTCTTCTAATCTTGTGTAGTGCTGTCCAGAATATACAATACACTCGGGCCGTTTGTTGAAGTTATCATTGGCTCTTTGTGGCTGTCATGAAGAGCTGCTGTAAGTGGCTCTCTCCTCGGCGCTTCAGCACTAGTAAAGACGGCAGGTTTGGTTTCTGCTATGGCTCAGCTGTGTCACTGCTTTTCCCAGGGGACCAGTAGCTGTTTTGGAAGAGAGCGGGAGCAGTAATGATATGGAACAGAGTGCCAGGTGCGATGATATTGACAGGCTGAAGCAGGAGAGATGAAGATCCCTTGGCCTTTTCCGCGCGCTGCCGTCTCTGTACAGTCGTCCGTTCTCAGGGGACAAATACAGTGCTAACGTGTGTCAGTCAGTCACAGCAGAGCGCCTTCCTGCACATCTGCCTGAGCGCTCATGTTGAGTCAGATATTCCAAACACTCGCTGCTGTTTACTGATATAACCGTGTCCTTGTAAATCACTCACTGACAACGGACCCAGGGTTTGGCTTGGAGCAAAAGTGAATTGTATGTTCAGTAAGTGGTGAGGGAGCAACTGGCTTATAGCACTAGGAATCCTCCAGCGTGGATGGCTGCTGCATTTAGTTGGGTCAAGAGCCAACCTGGGCCATTTGATGGCACGCGTCTGTTCGTAAAGATGGATGGCATGCCTGTGCATTGACATGTAATTTAAATGCATTGATTATGCATTTTCTTTTACATTTTATTATACACCAGCAGCTTAAAATACCAGCACATAATACATTTTTTAATAAGTAAATGTTTTATATTCCCTGCCATGAAAACACACTGGCATCATTTACTCATCTTTGTAACTTTTCAAAATTTTTGTTCACCCCCCAAACACAAATGAAGATATTTTTTAAAGAAATCCAATACTATGACTCGTCAGTTTTCGTAGAGATTACATAAATAATACAAATTTTTATGAATTGCAGTAGAGCTGCCCAATGTATCATTTCAGCATGGATATCACAATATGCACATCCCCAATAGTCACATTACAGGATATGCAGTGTTGAGTTGTAATAATAGGTGACCAGGAGAAACATGTCAGAACACATGACAATTGTGATGGTATAGCAGAGTTTAACTGTAATGGAGTGAAAGTTTATCATTTGCGCATGTTTTTAATGCCTGAAAGAGTAACATTTTTTTTACATTTTTAAATCCTTACCGAATAGCAATTTTCAAGTAATCTAGTGACATTGTAAATACAGTATATTGCAATATTTGTTACAAAAAAACGAAATATTTCTAAATATTTAAAAATATCAGATTTTTTTGATAGATCCTTAAATAGATCCTTAAATTGCAGCCCTAGGATGCAATTGTTTTATATGATAAAAATAGGGCTTATCCATTACTTCAATGAGAAAGACAATTTGTGGCATGGGCACGTTCAAATGCATGTGTCTCATTGTGAATGCGTGTGTCTCATGGCGGGTTTATCGCTTATGTGTTTGTTGTGGCAATGTGCTTTTTAATTTTAGTTCTTCTCTGCTCGGTGCCATGTTGTTTGTTTGTTTCTAGCGCAAATATGCTGAGAAACTACTGTAACTTAGAGGGGAGCAATGCATGAGCTTAAAAGAAAATTGATTTATCGCCCAGCCCTAGATGAACACATTTAATCTTATTTACAAATAAACATTGATCAATAAACAGTAGGGCTGCACAATATATCGTTGATTTCACAAAGTGCACGTTTACAATAATCACATTGCAAGATAGGCAATGTTGACTCGGAATTAAAGTTGACCAAGAGCTACAGAATTAAATTTAATCACCATGAAATTCATACGATTTATGCAACAACAACAAAAAAGTTTTTCTTACTCAGAATTTTTGTCTTGTTTCTAGTCCAAATATCTACATTTTATAGTGGAAATAAGATTTTTTTTACTTACCCTACAGGCAGATACTTTTACTTGTTTTAAAGAAAACATTTTTACACCTCCTTCCAAATTTTACCATCCTCAACTCACACGCACAGACACTATACATGCACACACATGGAGCAGACTTTATGCTATACATCTTGTATAAATCTCTCGTTCAGCCTCAGAACGGTTTTCGCTCTACTTTTTGTCATCTTACATTTACATATCGTATACGTCTCCCATTCTACCTCAGAATTGTTTACTCCACCTCACCCTACCCCTTTTTCATCCTTTATTTTGCACCACTATTTATCATCTTACATTTACATACTATACCTTTTAAGTATTTCACGTTCTACCACAGGACTGTTTACTCCACCTCACCCTAAATACCCCCCGCCCCCCATCCCCCATTTTGCACTACTGTTTATCTTCTACAGTTATTTCTACTGTAAATGTTTGCACTGAAGAGTGAGCACTTAATCTCATCGCACATGTATATAATGTACATAGTAGACGTGTACAGTGACTGTAATAGGCATTCTATTCTAAAAACTCTTAACTTTGGCGTATTTCTTCTAAAGTTAAAAACAAAACAATATATATACTAGATCTAAGAAATGTTTGATATTTGAGCTAAAAATAAGACTAAGCAAGGTAAGAAAAGCATTTTTTGCAGTGTGACTAATCAATTCTGTACTTGAAGACTGTTAGCATCAAATTGTGCTATTCAAAACGATCTTGTGAAACTGTATTCATATCCCAATGTTTATCAATTCCTATCCCAATGTTTATCGCAGAAAAAAAAAAATCACAGTATCAGATTTCTCCAATATCATGCAGCCCTAATGAACTGTGTTTACAGCTTCAGAGTATTACGTGCGTGTTATTTTAATGTACTGATTTTGAATAAATTGATAACAATAAAAGAAAAGAGCATACTTCAATGATTTCTGAATGATAACAATGAAACAGTCAGACTGAAAACTGAAGCTTTGCCATCACAGGAATAAATTGTAATTCTAAACGTTTTTTGTGTAAAAAGGAAAAAATCGGTTTTACAAGGTGAAACTTGAATGCCTTTAAAAAAAAGTCTTTATTGCCTTACAAAATGAAAGGCTTTTCTTATACTGAAGCAATGTGTGTGCTTGACTGTAATGTTAGCGTTATCTGTCTTTGGTTTGTGCCCAGCGTAAAGCTTTGCTTTCAAGGCCAAAGAGCTCAGCTTCAGTCTCAACAGACCACAACATTTTCATTCAGCAGGTTTTGTCACATGGCCTCTAGCAAACTCCAGGCGTGACTTAATGATGGCCTCTTTCTGAAGTCTCTTCCCTCCAGTCGCTTCAGAGGCTTAATCAGTAAAGTGCTGAAGAGATTGCAGGACGGCTTCTCCTATCTCAGACAAAAAGCACTTCACCTTGATGTTGCAGCTGGCTTATTGGCCACATTTATGCATGTTTTTTTTTTTTTTTACCTGAATCACAAATAATAGTGAACACGAAACTTTGGGAAGTAAAGTATTTTTCTAATATTTTAGCGGTAAAATAAATCAAGAACACTGCAGAAATTACATTCACAGACTTTACCTTATTGAAACCATTTACAAATAGTGTGGTTAAACTATTGATGTTTAACAGTGCCTCTGAAAATATTAAAATTAACACCATTATGTTTATGAATTATAGAGGAATATGTTCGTTTTTAGGAGCAGTTACTGAATTGTGTTTGATCTGCTGAACTGCTGTAGAGTTGTAGAATAAAAATGGTTAAAAGATATGATAATGAATTAATCAACAAAGATTACGCAATCTAATAATCATCTCTTGTTCCCACAAACACTGCTTTTACATAAAAGCAGTGGCTAGCTCTATGATGTGTCCTCTTACTTGTTTTTGTTAATTGTATCATAGTAGTTGTTAATAAATAGTTCTCTGCATCTTTATCGATCTCCACAGTTGGTAGTTCGAGGAAGAGGACGTGGCCGTGGAACGAATCGCTTGCTGACGCAACAGAACCCGAGAGCTCAAGATCATCAGCCCAGCACTGTCTGCATTGAGGGTTTATCAACCACCACAACCAATAAACAGCTCCTGAACCTGCTCAACTCCATTGGCCCTGTTGAGGTTAGGAAGCCTAAGCTTTGTTTTTCACTCATCAAAAATACGTTTATATTTTTGGCTTGTTAATGATCAAGAATTTTAGTTGGATTTCAAAGGTTAATACTCTAATCTATTTGATATGACATTCAAATTTCATACAGTATTGTAGCAATGAAATAATGATGCATGACCAGACTCTCTAAAACATAGGTCTGAAACTGGATTCCTGGAGGGCCGCAGCTCTGCACAATTTTGCTCCAACCCAAATCAAACACAGCTGATCCACCTAATCAAGGTGTTCAAGACTACTAGAGACCATTAAGCAGGTGTAACTTGGAGGTGATTAGAGCTAAACCAGAGGTGGGCAAACTCTGTCCTCCCCTGAGTTTAACTATGCCCACCCCTGAGTTTAACTATGCAGATCTGCAGCCCTCCAGGAATTGAGTTTGAGACCATTGCTCAAAACATTATAAGGGGCTGATCACACCGAACAAGATTTTCCGTTCTGAAAATACACGCTTTTTTTTTTTTCGCCAGGCAATGTCTGAATCAGCTGTGTATTGTGCAGGAGTGTTGCTGTTGATATTGTTATACTTATAATATTTAAAAATATTGTGATATTTAAGATGTGTGAAGTCATACAGCTCTGGATATCTCAAAAGAGCAACCGCTAGTCTCTCCTCCATCTTCAAAAGTCTCTGTAGTCGTCTTGACAACACAAACACTGCAGGCATATCAATGGAAACCCCGCCTCTGCTGATTGGAAAATAAAAAAGACGCAAGTGACATAGCTGTTGACTTTTTTCAACTGCGAGCACACAGCACACAACAGCAAAAAAATGCGAAACACAGCAGGCGGTTAAAATGTAAGGCGTGCAGGGCACATAAGCGACGCGCAAAACATAAGCCATAAGTAAACCATTCAAAGAATGTGCCTCTCAACGCAAAAAGCATGTTCTGTGTGATTGGCCCCTTAATGTGCTAAATTTGAATAGATTTCTGCATTAGCGAGTTTTATATACCAGTATAATTCATTGACTGGTCAATTGTTTTAATACAGTCTAAAAGTGCCCCAAAATCCTATTTGATTTAGCACAATTATCAAATTGTTAATACTGTTTTTTTAGAGCTGCACAATTAATCGTAAAAAGATCACAATCTCGATTCGACCCACTAGATGATTTTAATCCAGCATTTCTACGATTCTGTCAATCATATTTTCAAGTTCTGGAGAGAAGCAATGGTAGCCGCACAAGTCTTCACATTGTTTTACATACGTTGTTCAGCAACGTGGACGCCTCCAAATGGTGTTGAAAGAGTCACATGCAAGATATAATTCACCCTAAAAATGTAATTACTGTCTTCATGTAATGATGCGTCAGCTGTTACCACAGAGAGAGCGGGCGCGGGCTCGCCTCTGAATGAAGTCTACTTTAGTGAACAGAATTTGCATAGACTGTGAATAACAGCTAATAAAGTTGTAAATAACATTCAGTTTGTGACAGTGATCATTTGGGAGCCGCGCTGGAAGTGAACTGCTCTTAGCAGTGAAAATGAAACTGAAAGCACACACAGTATTGCCAGACTGTTGTAGCTGACTGATTCCAGCTCAAAAAGTATCCAAAACCCGACGAAAAGCAAAAATACCATCCCAGTCTTCTGTATTCACGAAAATCACGTCAGTGACAGATTTTAAGCAGAAAATGACAGATTGTAAGCATGTCTCAAACACAATAATTCAACATCAGAATTATCATCAGCATTAATGACCAGGACAAATCTAAAGTCTGTTCAAGTCCACCATTCCAAGTCTATACAAAATTTAGTATTTTAACAGTACAGCTACACAAAGCCTATTGCTGTTTTACCACATGTTTGAGAATAACAACAATAATAGCCCACTCATATTAACCTTTATTTTACATCAACAGAATCGTGAGAAAATCAGGATCTTTATTTTAGGCAAAAAAAAATTGCGATTCTCATTTTAGCCAGAATCGTGCAGCTCTACTGTTTTTAGATTTTGACAACCAAATTGAGCAGCTCTTTTCTTTTTTTTAATGTAAAGCTGGGTGACTATTCGAATGTGATTTCCAAGTGCATTTTGTTAGTACAGCTGGTTCTAGTAAATCTCCAGCACGTGCTCTCAGATGGAGCAGCATTTACTACAAAAAGTCATAGTTCACTGACAAGCTATGCAAAATCATGTTTAATCTGATTATAGTGAGATTGAGATAATCATTCTGTCAAAATTACATTGATGAAATGAATTAAGGCTGCATGAGAAAATGTGACATAATAACGTGCTTTAGGTTTTCACTCCAAACCTGTTTCATAACTTCAGTCGAATGTTTGAAATAAATTTTTCTGCAGGATGATTTCATAGCCATGAGATTAGTAGTCATGCTGAATCAATGAATGCGGTAAAATCTTTGCTTTTATATTGCAATGCTATTCGTATTTACTGGATTACTGCTTTGTGCCTGTTTCTGCACGAGAGCACCCTCTGGCCTATGGAGGATATTTTGCGGAACCTTGCTTCCCTGACAAGATGTACGAGACAATCACGGCTTTGCACAAATGTCTTTGAGATTTTATTTTAATCACCCAGTCCTTTTACAAATGTTTTTATTTTTTTCACTATTCATTTAAATTATTCTGAGTATACTTTAACCATATTAATGATTTATATAATTCAGTCCAAAATTCAATATTCTTTATCTTTAATATATAAATTCTTTCAATAATAATACAATCTGCAGATTTTGTGATTTATTTATTTTTCTTTCTGCTGTTTTTAATTAAATAATGTGTAGTCGGTTTCATGTTGTTCAACTCTCTGGCTTTTGAGAAGTGTGGCAAAATGTTAATTTTGGACTAGCGCAGAAGTTGTTGAACAGGGTGTCATAAATAACTGTCAGGTTCTTCTAAAATTCTTCCACTGTTCATGCAGGATGGTGTTTTCCCATCATTATTTGTTTCGGACCCTTTGCACACAGCTGACAGGACCACTGTTATACTGTCTTATAAATATAAGCAGCACAGCATAAGGATTAGGCAAAAGAAAGAAGGGCTTGAATTTAGACCTTCTTTTAAATACAACGATAAGAAGCTTGAGGATGGCTAATATACTAATCCATCAGGGAACTATATTGCTGTTTGCATAACAAAAGATCAGTTCTGATTTGACACTTGAGAAATGTAATTGACACTAAACATTTAACTATGTTTAGCGTTTGAACTGGTTGGATTGACTGCAGCACCACCTGCTGGTTAAACAGCATAAGACATCGTCATTCATTAATATATTTAAAGCTTTAGATTTTCTTGATCTAATGTGGAATTTTTTGGTGTGTTTTTGAACACTTTGTGTATATTTCAATATGCTAGGTGAAAACATTGAGCTTTACTGAGTGGAACATAGTGAAGAGAGCATTACAAGTGGAGTAGAAAATAACTGGTTAAAAAAATAAGTTTGTGGTTCAAATCCTGAGTTTAAAGGTATTAAAATGTTCGATTTCCATAGTTTTTATCAAATTTTTACCACTTTCTGTCTAAATACTACATTTTGATTGGTTTAAAAGTGTGCATTACCACCAATTCAGCAAATTTTTAAACTAATGTGCAATCAATGCACAGTTACAAACCCATGAGACAGTCATCCTCACATAGAAATATTGAGGATTAATATATTTGGACAACCAGTGCATTTGGCAAATATATTAGTATTTCAACAATTTTTTTCAAAAGCATACAAATGTTAAACCTTATAGAAAATTTTAGGTGATTAATAAATTAATTTATTAATTTCCCTCACATTACCTTTACTTATTTTATTTTTTCACAAGACATTGACCCCAAAATAAACTTTATATCAGAGATGCCCAAAATAGGGCACGCAGGCCAAAATTGTCCTATGGTAACCTTTGATTTGGCCCACCGTCCCATCTGAGAAGAGAAGGAGAATGATGGAAATGGTTTAGTCATATCAATCTTTTGGGCATTTCAAACGAAAAAGTTTGGGCACCCCTGGTTTATAGGATGATCTTTTGAAAAATAGTACAATTGCGCCATCTGGCTGTTTGTGTTTGCGTTGCATTCCCGTATGATTTTTTTTTACCAAATTGTTGTTCCCAATCATACAGAGCAAACAAAGTAGAAATGTAGAAAATAAAATCTACAGCTATATGTCATTTGTGCTTTTCTTCTACAGAGGTTTAATATGTTGCCTGAGCAGCGGAAGGCCATCGCCAAGTTCGCAAACCCAGAACATGCAGTGAGTTTTCAGCACAGCTTCCACAGGTAAGATTGACTTCATCACACTGCACAAATATCGAGGGAGCTGTTGACTTTAAGATCCTTTTTATCTTAAATTTGTAAGTTCACAACAAGAATATACTACTGAAATGTCTTTTGTGAGTAAGATTATAAATAGAAACATATTTCTATTCATTCATATACATTTTTCAGCAGATCATGAAGGTAAAAATGAAGTTCTATGGGTGTGTTCACACTTGTCAGGTTTAGTTTGATTAAAACAAACCCTGGTGCTGCACTTTGTTAGTGCAGTTCATATTTTAAATGCTGCTATCCAAACCTGGTGTGCACTAAACAAACATATTGAGACCTCTAAAAAGTTTGTTTTCACTTATTAACAAAAAAGATGATTAGAGTGAATTATGAACGCAAACGTTAAAACTAATCAGAAACAAGACATATATTGTTACAAGATGCAACACCAAAACAGAACTGAGTTCTCAAGCATACCTGATTTTTCTCATCCTATTCCCAATCCTGGCCAGTAGATTTTTAATACAGGCATTGGAAACCTGTTTACTTGAAACAAATCTTTGTGTCTTGCAATTTTGACTCATTTACACATTTTTAAGCTCTATACAAGTTCTAAACTGATACTAATACTATCAGATGTACACACATACCATACCTCGTCCAATCCAGCATGGTTTGTTCAGTAAGTACTGGCACAATATGTACAGGTATGCCATTAATCTGGCATAACAGTGTGAACATTAAGTGAAACATATCTTAACTCATTTAATCCTACCTTGCCTTTTTTGTGTTTTTGGAAGCTTTTAAAGTTTTGTTGTCAGCTTTTTCAAACTTTAAATTAAAGTTTGATTGTTTTAAATATAATAATTCAATGTTATACAACCAGTTGACTTTACACACCTCCTGCTTGGACATCTAAAATAAATAAGAGGTTAGGGTTAGGTCCTAATTGTAACCATTAGTATTACAATTGATATATGCAATCAATTCAAAGTGAAGGGATGTAGTCAAATTTGGTGCCCCATACTCGGAATCTGTAGTCCAAAACTTATTACTAATTACAAAACTTATAATCTCAAATTACAAAAGAAAGTTTGATTAAATAGATCATGTATCTTGCTTTTTGTTCTGGATCAAACAAACCAAAAGAGCCAAAATGCAGGTGTGAACACAACAGAAAAAAGCCTATATAATACATTTAGGTGTTTTCTGTTGGTATTATTGATCAAATTGGACGAGTTGATGTGCCCAATAGTTTGCAAAAATGTTTGGCAAGTGAAACATGAAGCATCAGCATATCTTACCCATTAAAAGCAAGCTCTATGGTGACTCTACCAACGGTCATGTTTTGTTGGAGATGCCTTTTGAATGCACGTGTCTCATTTCAATCACATGTTCCCTTAATCAGGCACATGATAGATTTGTCTCACATCGACGTTTCCATTATTGATGGCTGAGGAGAAAGTCAAGAAGAAAAGAGAAGTGAGCAAGAAGAACATGTCTTTTTCTGGAAGACAGACGCACAATCAAGAATCAAACGTTTTGGAAGCCATGCAGAAAAGCACTGTCGACAAACTCCAGTCATATGCATGAAAGAATCAAAGACAAAGAGCCCAACACTAGCTGTGTCCTGCTGGATATGGCACAGCATTACTTTACATTAGTACTTCAACTTTGGCATGAAGTCCTGCTCGTTTCAGTATCTTCATGTGTATATACATATATATGGAAATCGGTAATGATTGAAACCAGCAGTTGAAAAGAAAGTTAGGAAACCAAGACATTTTGATGGCACTTGATAATAGTTGCTCCCATCCTGTAGCTCTCCATATAGACTATTAGACACATTCTGTTATGAATTCTTGATTTCTTTTGGAGTTTTCCACAGTAATTGACTTGAGCAAAGGTGGTAAATGGGTTGTTTGGTCTCTGCATGCTGCAGTTGTTGTTTTTGTCACCTGCAGAGGGCAGCAGAAGACTTCTTATTTGAAGTCTTTGCGTTGAGCTTGTCGACCACAGTGTGGAAAGCACTGCTTTGTAGAGATGTTGAAGTGCTTTTATGGCGCTTCAGGGACCGGTTTGGGTTGTGCTGTTTTGGAAGCCACGGTGAGATTTTGAATTCTAGTTGTGCGTCTTTATTGGAAGTCAATGTAGATTGTCATTGTCTCTTTTTTTGGGCTATTGTACATGACTGTTCACCATTTTTAGTTTTTCATGGTCGCTTTCACCATTGTAAATGTATTGAAGCTGAGTTCTGGTCTGCAGAGCTGGTTTGTAGTTCATAATGCGTGTCTAAGGACAGCTGAAAAACAATTCAACAGTAAATGACTTTTATACTTTGGTTTTAAGTTTCGGTGTTGGAGTCTCATGTTTAGATTCTTTTAATTGTTGTTTGAGATGGCTTCCAAGAAAGTATAAAAATCAGGCAGAAATTCCCCTTCCTTTTTTAATATGTTTGGTTTTCTTTCCTCGTAGCACACATTGTGTAGAGAAGAGGATGGTTGAATCATGGCCCGTGCGATTTTATTATAGATTTTGATGCTGCTGTGTTTGTTGACATTGGTTGAATTTCGATCAACTTTAAGTTCGTTGTGAAGAGAGATCTGGATAAATGGTAGACCTTTGGCTTGGTTGATCATTTTTAAGTTAGTGAGATGGGAATGCAAGTGGCTTGTTGAGGTCAGTTGGAGATTGGTCAACATCTGCTGTTAGAGACCTTTCCTAATCCCTTCATCTATATTTCCTTATCCATCTTGTTTTCCTCATTAGTTGTAACACAGGGCTTTGAGTGTCAGAAGACAGATTTAGTTTTGAGCACTGCTATATGGGCTGATATCTCCAGTGAGCGTAATGCAATCTTGTTATGTCATGGCTTTTAATCATGGGTTATCGCTGTTATGATGTCATCGTCTTTATTATTTGTATTTTTTTGCTTCAAAGAATAGACCTTTGTCTGTTTCAGATACAGTAGTATAGTGGAGTCTTTTATGTTCGGGCCATTTCAGTGAATGAAATATAACATAAATATAGTTAACAACACAACCAGGTCTGTCGTTTCAAAGGGTTTGGGAGCAACTATTATCGGTGTCCATGTATATAATGAAAAAACTGTGTGAAACTGTCGAGTCTGTTGTTTTCTCATCTCGAAATCTTCCCATGTTTAAAAACTAGTATGTGACAGGTACATTTCTTTTCTCGGTTTGTTTTTATATATATATATATATATAAATATCAATAGAACAAAGTATTCCTTGGTCGTTTTACATCAGTTTTGTTATTTGAGAACTTCGAGATTATTATTTGAGGAAATTTTAAAGATGAAAAATAAAAGATGGTCACATATATACCATGTAAATACGGGTATGTGAAGCCAACTGTCTATCACCATTAACTGTTGTCTGATGTTGATTTGTGTTTGAAGAGTCAGTCCTATTTAATCTGAACACAACATACACATTTTTTTTGTCCATACACCTGAATGTTCATTTTTTATGTTGCCAAATTTGAGGTAGAAGATTGTGTTTCAGAGTTGGGTAGATTTAGGCACCTGAGGTGTTGTTTTGTCCATTATGTTTTTCAAAGTTAACATGTTAACCGCGACCCTTCAGCATCCACTTGTTTAAAGATGCACTTGTAATTTGCTGATCTTCTGTTGTAGAGTGGTAGTTGGGCCTGGTCGATCCCAGTTTGATCCCTCTTTGTCTATATGTGTATGTTTGTGTTAATAGTTTGCATTGTGAGTTTTCAGGAATTACAAAAATGCATAATAATGGGTAAGATTATGAACGTTAATTAACCTAAACGTAGATGCACTCCAATCTTTTTTTTTTGTTTACTTTTGAGTTAATGTTTTTTTTTTAAAGACCAATATTTTTGAAGTTGCAAATGCAAACATTTATTTTTTGGTTTGAATGTATTTATTTATACTAGAAGAGTGAATCCTGTGGATTTAAAAGGCGTAAAGCAGTCTGAGTGACTCATTTTAAATCTTATAAGACATATTTTAAATCAGTCTTATAACAGAAAAACTGATTCATATTGAATCTTTTTGTAACTTCATTGTAAGTGTTAAATAACTTTGAGGGGAATTGTCCCTTTCCCAGATGTAATCACACATGTGACATTTTTTATGGACTTGACAAACAGTGTAGTCAAAATAACAGAGAATGCGTTCTGTTCTGTTCTTGAGAGTAGGCTTGAGGTTTACTTTTTTTATTTATTTATTTAATTTATTATTTCTGTCGATCACAAGTGGCTGGCACACTCCATGTGCATTTTATTTTATTTCTTTTTTGTTTTTTAGTACCAAAAATCTTACTGTTTAATGCCGTTTATGCTGCGATTGGCCGGTATATAAAAATATTAGGATGGCCTATTGCTTTAATATTAATATTTAATATTATTTGATTACTTGCACTTTTTTATTATGGTAATCAGCTTAGAATTTGTAACACTTTCAAATTCTGCTGCTTTAATTGTATAATGGTTTAGCAAGTTCTTACAGTTTAAGCATCACAAACTGTGCACTGTTTCCCCATTAGCAGCAGTCATTTTTACCTTCAAATTAAACCATTTTTTTCTCTTTTTCAGGACAGATCTTCAGGAGAACCGAAAGGAGGGTTTTTCATTAAAGAAATGCTCTTTTTTTATATTCTGAAATGCATTGGTTTTCAAAATTTCTATTTAGGGTAGTGTATATAAATCTCGGTATTATATACGCTCTATTAAAAGTTTGGTTTTAGTTGTTTTTTGTGAGGTTTTTTGGCCGACAAGGTGGAATTTAGGGTTAGCCAAATTGAGAGATGGATGAATCCGGAAAGGATGGTGCCATAAATGAAGTGTGTTCTAATTCATAGTTAATCTGGTTCATGGCTTATAAGTAATTTTGAAGTGATTTTGTTTTGTAAGAGTTGTGTCTTTGTTATCATCAGGTTAGTGTAATGATTGACTGAATGGTGAAATGTCTCAAACTCGTTCTGGTTGTTTCATGACAGAGTTGCTGTTTAGCTTTGGTGATCGTGAGAGAGAAAGAATAACATGTATTATCAACGCAATCTCATGACAATTCATAACATTTTGATTTAGTGGCTTATTCTTAGGGCCAGACAGAATCTGCGGACATTTTTTGTTATTTCTGCTCAGAATTTTGTTAAAAAACTGCGGATTTATGTGGAATGATTTTGGGATTATCATAATTAAAACCTAATATACAGTTAGAGTCAGAATTATTAGCCCCCCCTTTGATTTATTTTATTTTTTTTGTTAAATATTTCCCAAACAATGTTTAACAGAGCAAAGGAATTTTCACAGTATGTCTTGATGTTTTTTTCTTACGGAAAAAGTCTTATTTGTTTTATTTCAGCTAGAATAAAAGCAGTTATTAATTTTTTAAACACCATTTTAAGGACAAAATTATTAGCACCTTTAGGCTATTTTTTTCCCGATAGTCTACAGAACAAACCACCATTATACAAAAGCTTATCTAATTACCCTAACTTGCCTTGACCTAATTACCCTAGTTAAGCCTTTAAATGTCTCTTTAAGCTGCATAGAAGTGTCTTGAAAATAGTCCAATATTTATTGTAATCATGGCAAAGATAAAATAAATCAGTGCTTAGAGATGAGTTATTAAAACGATTATGTTTAGAAATGTGTTGAAAAAAAATCTGCTCTCCATTAAACAGAGATTGGGGGAAAAAACAGGGCAGATAATTCAGGGGGGCTAATAATTTTATTAGCAGGGGGGCTAATAAAAACTAATACCTTTGCAATTTGTATTTAATGTTTACAATGCAAATCCAATTAGATCCACTTTATTTGGTAAACAAATCAAGTCTTCTTTATTATAAATCTACTAAAAGACAGAAAATAGTACTTTTATAACTGTATTCTGAATACATTATATGAAAATTGTCATATTAGTCAATAATTATACTGAAATGAGTTTAAAAACTGAATAAATATAAAGGTACACACATTTACGCAAGTAAATAAACAATCAATGATGGGCTAAAAATCTGCGGAAATTTGTGGAATTCTGCACGTGCAGATTCCGTGTGGGCCTACTTGTTTGTATGAATTGGTGCGACCTCATTTGTAGAATTTAGTACACACCTCCTTTTTAAAATTGTACATTTTTGTACGACTGAACTCAAATTAGCCTCTAAACTGACAAAGCGTAAAAGAATAAAATTTTCTCATGTTATCAGGCTGGAATTATAGGTATTTTGTTTTTAATCAGTGTTGTATTGAATTGTTAAATCAAATTTAATAGTTAAACAATTTAAAACCAAAGAGAAATGAATTGATAATTCACTCAAACAAATAAAAGCTGTCATATTACTTACCCTCTACTTATTTTTTTATGTTGACTTCCATAGTAGAAAATACTGTAGTTGTCAATAGCTTCAGTATTTCCAACAAGATCTCACAGCAATTTGTAACTTTTTTATTTAGTCGCTAATTCGTATGAATTGCTACAATCTCATTTGTACAATTTAGTACAATTTGCTCATCACCCAATGACGGTTGGGTTGAGGGGTGGGGTTGGGTGCCATGCTGTACTGCTGAACTTGTACAAACTTGTACGAATTAGCCACTAAACTGACAAAAGCGTAAAACAGTCACGTTTTCTCATGAGATCAGGCTGATATTCCTGATTTTATCTTTAAAAGAAAAAATAAAGGGTGAGTAAAGTGACTACATTTTCAATTTGTGGTGAACTCTCTCTTTAGACTGAACAAGTTCCAGTTCCCATCATGCTTTGTGTCAGACTGTGCAAGGATAATGAATGTTTAAATGGTGTCGTTTTGTGTGTGTTTTGCAAAAGATTAATATGGAGAGGGACGTATTGCTGTTTGTTTAGTTTTGTGTTGGGGTTTTTATAAGGGTTTTGTGTTGTGGTGTAGTTTAAGGGCGACGACATTTTAGGATTTATATACTCCATTACTGTTTTTAAACTGTATAGCAAATGTTTAGTGATGGTCACATTTATTTCTATAAAGACATGCAAGTGTTATGTCTAACTAAAAAAAAGTTTGAGTTCATATAATGTTGATGGTTAAGTTGTTTATTGCAACTGCAATTTCATTCTGAAAGTGCTTCATTTAAAGACCAAACACACTGATGTTGATGATAACGTGGATCTCTGATATCTTTGCGTTAAGCTCTTTGCACTGTATTTGGCCTCTAAATTTAGTGGTTGTTTTTGAGTCGTCTAGTTATTGTTTTGAGCTTACACACCAAAGGCTGTTTTATATTCAGTTCAGTCATACAATTCATAGTTTTGATTTTTGATAGGTTAGTTTTTGAGTTTATTAACTTTAAAGAAAATACCATTAAAGATTTTTCTAGTCTGCCAACTTGATACACTCAAATTATAATATTTGGAGTACAATGTTTCCTGTGAAAGCTCATTTCTGCCACTGATTTATAAAGAACTGCTACATTTGGACTTGAAATACTGACATTTTTTGCAATTGACTTTATATCTGACTATTTTGACTTCAGACTTGCACGTTTGTATTTTGCAATATTGAGTTATAAACTCAAGTTAACGTCTCACTTTTTGTGTGAGAAAGTCAGAATTCTCAGAAGTCACATTTATAACTTTTTTTTTCTGATGGCAGAACTGGGATTCCATATTTCTCTGTGAAACTAACACTGATTTTGAAAACCACGGCATGGGATTGAATATTAAAAGATGAAAAACCCTCCTTTTGATATGAGTTTGAATTAATGTTGTGTCTATCTACAGTAAAGCTGCTCCAGATGATGCTAACCTGTCTTCATTTCTCAACAGGTGCTCCTCAGTTTAAGCGCTACCAGAATTCCCTCGCTTTTTTTCTCTCTCTCTTTCTCTCTCTCTACTTCTGTTTTCATACTCTCTCTCTCTCTTTCACCTGTTCTTTCTTTCTGGATGGGAAGGCTGTTGTTGGTCTCACTGTGGTGTTGTGTGCACATAATCCTTCTGTATTAAAGCAGGGGGACGTTGCGTCTGGATTTCCTTTCTGTATTAACCCAGGTCCGTGGAAGTGTTGCGTCTGTGGGACCGCACCCTTACTGACTTCCAAAGTTCACAAAGTCGCACAAAGCCCGAATGATCTGTACGCTCTTGCCAGCTGTACACTTGGGTTGTGTTGTTGGATGAAAAGAAAGCATTGCTTGGAAATCATTATTGTATATGGGAGGAAGTGATTTATGCTGTTTTGATCACCGCTTTTTTTGTGCGTTAATGCAACGGTTTTTTGATGTGTCTGAAATGCCAGACTGTCCTTCATGTTCAATTCTGAAGAATATAAATGCTGTTTGTTTAGGAAGCTCTTTTCTGGAGCTTGTCAAGTGGAAACCGATTGTATGCCTTTGACTGTACTTGCACTTGAATAATTGCTT